ACCGGTTTATCCTCATAAAATTTAACTGAAGTCTTGTGATGTTTAATCAGGTTCCTTCCGATTTATTATTTGGCAAGTTTAACAAGTTTATTTGTTTATTATTGAATTTCTCTAAGATTAATTCTTTTTTTTTTTGGTTCAACGATCAAGGAAGTTAGGATAAAGTTACGCGTTCTTCGACTAATCTCCTCTTCAATTCGGTCAAATGCAGGTTATTCACGTCGGAATTAAGATAATCATAAAGAATAAATTCTTCATGGCCTGATCTTAAATGTTATCAAGATACGAATTCAGAAAGTCGAAATTTATAGCTCATTTTTGTTATGACTTGAACTATCATTTAAGATTTTTAAGAGCATTACTAAACTTATTAATTTCATATCAATATACCCGGAATAATTATATGTGATACTATACAATTTGTGCGATGTAAGATAAATTGTACTCAACCCTTTAAACGATGAGTCATATAATGAAACTTTTCTCTCTCGGGTTTCCTAAAAAAATAGCCTCTTTTATAAATATTTTTTTTTCTGAGAATTTGCAATAACATAATATATTATGGCCGGAATCGAATTCTAGAGTTGTTATTTGGGGTGTAACTCTATTTTACAAGAAAAAAAAACATGTTTTTTAAACTCTACTAGCATCGATTATGTGAAATATGAGATTAATAAAAAGATATTCGTACAAATTTGTTTTTTAGTAATTTCGAAGACCAAACTAGAAATTGAAACTTAATTTATCCAACACCCAATTAGGCTCGTTAAACGATTCAGGAGGCTCGGGCTCAACTTGATTTTAGGTTGGTTTGGACTAGTTTATATTATAAAATTAAGTTAAATTTAAACAAATTTTTAGACTCGTTTAATATTCAAGCCAAGCTAAGCTATTCGCGGATCGGCTCGTTTTTTCTTATTTGTACATAATATACATATGAATTATTGTAGATCTTAAGGTTATTTTAATAAAATTAGAAAAAAAAAATGTGTTTGTATGTTTTTGTTGTGATTTAGAAGTATTTTATACTCAAATTTATTTGCATTTTTGTGAGGTTTTGATTGGGTATTTGAAATTTATAAATTTGAATTTTTTTTTTTTTGAATGGCTTGTTTTTGGCTCGAGCTTAGGTCGAATTTGGTATAAGTTGAATTTGAACAATATTTTGAGTTCAATAGATAAGTTTGAGCTGAGCTTAAACAATCCTTAAATAGTACAAGTAAGGCTCATCTCGATTAACACCCATATACCCAATTATTAACTCATGGGAAGTGATCAAAAGTTACATGGCCCATAGGATTGTGGACACAACTATTTTTGCCATAACCATTACAAGCATTTAATTTAGGACTTTATTGCCTTGTCTCATTGAAATTATATGACTGTACTGTTTAGTAGAATTTGCCTTTTAGTGGCTCGTGAATCACGTGGTAATTACCTTTTTATTCGGGCGTAGAAAAAATGTCGGTGTTTTGGAATATTTAAACAGTAAATTACATAGAATAATTTATAGTTTAACGGAACATATGACTCTTGGTAGAACATAATAAAAAAACAAAATTTATATAACTGACTCCAAATATTTGCAACCAAGACTAAGATTTTATTGGGTTGAATTAAGTTATATTGATGACCATGAATTGGACATAAAAAGAAGGAAACAACCCCCAACAGGGCCCCCCCATTGCAAGTTGTAAGCAGCTAATGGGAACAGGTGGTATCCCAATCATCCACTGCTTAAGGGAAGGAAACCAATGCGTAGATGCGTTGGTGAACATGGGAGTTCAACAACAAATTGGACTAGTGTGTTGGAATGACCCCTACCCCACTTGGGAAATCTACTTAATGCATATCTTTCTTTTTTTTTTTTTTTGAACAAAATTAACAGGATAATCATAATATTAAGTAGGAAAATTGAGGTTACAATCAATTAAAATAAAAATCGTAAGTTCGGGAAGACACTAACCAATCCAACGGGAACGAATTGTTTAGCATATTGGTCGCTACCCAGTGAACAGCCTTGTTATAGGCCCTAGGTTTGTGTAAAAAATTAAAATTATATAATCTAGCATAATGTCTAATATCCTTGATAATTCTCCTAATTTTCTATGGTAGGATATCTTCATTGGAGCTAAGCTAAGCTTAATAATATTGAAACAATCATTCAAAATAGATGCATGAGTGATCAGCTATGTCTATGCAAGAATGCATGCTTGCCTCACTGCTTCAGCCTCAGATCTGGCTAGTGTAGTTTTTAGTAGGAGTTTTGTTTAACTATTTTTACCTTTCCAATGTACCAAAAAGAAGGAAAAAAAATTTAAGAATGTGATTGATGCAACATTGCTTCATGCCAATCCCATAAAGTTGAAAAATAGTTTCTTAAAATTACAACCATGTGAGAAGACAAACATTAAAATGTAACACTAATTAGGTCTGTCAATAGTATCGAGTGAGATAAATTTGCGTCAGAAAATATTCAATTTCTACTCAATTTATTTATTAATTCGTGTCTATCGAATAGTGTTATATCAGATTCATATTGTATATGAATATTATATAACCGTTATATAAACTAATCGTGTCGTGCATTTTCTTTTGATTATTTTCAATCTCACCTGATTCATTTTGACATCCCTAATGCCAAGGGTGGTTCAAGGCAATTTGAGGCCTAAAGTGAAAACACTACATGAGGCTTTTCTCTTTTTTTTAATATTAATTTTTATAAAAAATAACAATTTAATTTTTATTTAATTTATTATGTGAGCGAGAGACAAAAGAAAGACGTATTAATGTTGCCGATAAAAATGTTTTAACTTTTGTTTTTATTTTTTTTTTTTTAATTTTAATTTTTTAAATATTTTTTACTTATTTTGTGAGTGAGAGAGAGAGAGAGAAAAAGAGGACAGGAATAAATATGAGTTGAAGTTTGAGTATTTTTTTATTTTTCAACTTACGATTTTTAGATTTTTAATGTTATGAATTAGATTATAGATTCAAATTATTAAAATAAAATTTTTAACTATTCTTAATTTTTTGAGACTTTTTTTTTATGGTTTAAAATTTAAAGGATTTAAATTTTTTTAATGTTAATAATGTATCTAAAATTATGAAACTTTCTAAAAATTTAGAGCTTAAAGAGCATTTTTTGTTTAATACTGTTGGGAGGCTCTTGTCTAACGCTAACCATATTACAAGGATTTTAATATGATATTGCTCATGTGCACACATACAATCCATAGATTGCTTTGATAATTTCATGGTGTGGAATATTTTTCATTTGATACAAAACTCATATGATGACTGAATCTCTGCTCCCTACTCTCATTCAAAAAATTTATACGACTTGAGTTCGAGTTCAAATTTAATATTAGTTTTTTATCCAAAATTAATCATTCTTGTATTAAAACCCATAATCTCACTGTCATATTTTCAACAATTCTTAGACTTTTGTCTACTTGTTAAAAACTAATCGTGTGATACTATAGCTAGCTACGATCCCCTACAAAAGGAATCACTCGACTTTGCCCTTTGACAGGCAAATTTCAAGTACCCTACTTACTAATTAATTATTTATGCATGAATGCAGAAAGAGCCAACTACTTTCTCTGGATCAACGTTTAGGGTACAATATCTTTATTATAATTAGAGTATACAATCGAATCTCTTAATAAAAAGAAGTTGGGGACAGACAAGATCTTTTATTTAAGTGTGTTCTTAACTCGACAAGGAATTGTAAAACCCTAGCCCCGCTGATCCTGTTTGAACCAATTTTCAACATATAATTATTTGATATTAAAAAAAAAAACAGAATAATGACCAAAACAAATAAAGAAATGAGAACTTTTTATTCCTTTTTCCGGTCAAATAGTACCGGCACTTACGGGGATGTTGGATCAAGAACCATGACGTCACAACCTTTGACCCAATACAATCATGTATAACATCCGACGGTCCAGAACTCAGATTTACAAATTTCAAAAAATTCCGACCACACATAATCATTACACAATTTTAATTTCTTTTTTTTTTTGTCAATTTCTCCCTTAATTTAAACATGTGTTTAAGAATAAAGAATGTCGATCGCAAGTGTGGAAAGACACATCCACAGAGTTGGTCCCGCCTCTCCGACAATTAAATGATGATTCTTAGCCAAAAAGTCAAAAACACCCCTGTAATTTTCCCTCTTTCATATTGTAAAATAAAAAAAATTACCGTTGGAATATAAAAAACACAGTCACATTTTTTGAAAGAGATTATTTTTCAATATATATATTTGTGGATCACATATACTAGTAATAGTTTAGTGTCTGAATATATTCTTTAATATTAAAAATTAATTATTAATTATATAATATTTATATTTTAAATAGTAGTTTATTTTTATTTGATTTTTTTAAATAAATAATTTAAAATTAATGTTAATACAATAAAAATAAGAGAAATATAGGAGAGAAAATAGAGAATTATGTGTGGAATAATCAAGTTATTTTACATTATAAGGTGTGTTGGTAGGGTTGATATTCGAGTTCGTGCCAAGCTAGTTGAACTAGTTTTTCTAAATAAATATAAAAAATTATTCAAGTTTAAAAAAAAAGAAAACAAGTTAATATCAAGTAATTCGACTATTTTACTTATAAACAAATCGATCTTTGTGAGCTCAATTCAAACTTTTTTAAACTTATTTTATTAAATAAATAAAAAAATTGTTTAATTTGGCCCGTTTAAAAAACCAAACTCCAAACTAAGCCTAAAATTAATTGAATTCGAACTCAGCTCGACTTTCTCGAGTCAATAAACAGTCTTAGTTGCTGGTTGAATTGTGTGGCATTTTCGTAGATTCTTAGAAAATTACAGTTGACTAAATGCACCTAACCTCTTAATTACCTGAACAAATTAAATTTTGTTCCACTTTTACCCCTCAAGAGTCTACGTATTTCAATCTATATATGTACGAGTGTATACTTATAATCCCAAGAAGATTACAACGACTAGATTCACCTAATTAGCTATTAAGCTCTATATTACTCACAATGACTAGAAATTTTATTTTCGTTTTTACCCCCCAAACTATTTTAAATTGCAATATCTATGTAGATATAAAGAAGGATATGTATTCTACATTGCATATTTTTTACTTTTGTTTCTTTACCTTCTCTTCAGCTGTCAGGTTTCTTCGATTTGTTGATCTACTTTGTGTGAGACAAGAAGGTGTCGATACTTGTTCTTGAGCTAATTGAGGTCACTGATGAGTGACTCACAGCTGAAAATTCTTCGTTTGGGATTCTAGAGAGAGAAAGTAGGGATTCTTGTTGTGAGAGACGGGTCTGTGAAGTGATGAACAGAGATTGTTAGGGGTTTTGAGATATATATATGTATGTCTGTATATGATTGTTGTGGTGGGTTTGTTGAGTTTTCTCTGATTTGTTTGGATTTGATATGGGTGGGTGTTTCCCATGCTTTGGATCATCAAACAAGGAAGGGAATGGGGCGAAAGAAGTGGCAAAAAAGGATTCTGTGAAAGAAAGTTCAGCTGCTCACTCTGAACATATAAGCAGACTTAATTCAGGTGAAAAATTGTTGTTGCCCAAAATGATTTCTTGGAATTTTTTTCATATGGGTATTTCTAGGTTTGTGTGTTTTTTATTACTAGGTGTGCTTCGGCTTTGTCGAATTCTTTGCTTTAATTTTTTGTCCCTAGTGTTTTGATGATGGGGGCTTGTTGGAATTGTTTGTTAGATTGATCTGATTCATCTTATGGTTGTTTGGTAGATTTGGGTGCTTTACTGAATTGGGATTTTAACAGATTTGTTGTTATAGTTGATTGATGAACTTTTATTCTGTTTTTGTTTCTAATTTTTGCACTTCCATATTCCCATTTCCCACTAATGCAGTGGGGACGTAGTGTATTTGGGAGATCTGCTTTTTGTTTTGGAGAATTGAAATGATATTTCATGATCATTGACAATTTGATAATGTCGCCAATAATATGTGGGTATAAGTCTTTTTTATGCAGAAAAAAACGTTGAGCTTACATGTACTCGCTGCGAATAAAGCAGTGAGGAAGCAATATCAGTTGGAATTTAACATTGGCTCTGATTTTGATTAGCCCTGCATTCAAAGTGAAAGTGATGATAACTCTCCATGCACGGCAAAATCAATGGAGCCATATATTATCCTCTTAGTGTAGCTGAATAAGGAAATGTGTTGTGCAATTTTGGTACAGTTTTTGTTTTTCTCCCTAATCTGCTGTTCAACTCAGATTTCATTCTCTCCTAAACTGTTTCTGATTCCCTTCTGTATACAGACAAATTGAAATCTCAGGGTGGTAACGATTCTAAAAAGGAACCAGCAGTTCCAAAGGATGGACCAACAGCACATATTGCTGCGCAAACCTTTACATTTCGTGAGCTAGCTGCTGCAACAAAGAACTTTAAGTCGGAGTGTATGCTAGGTGAAGGTGGTTTTGGACGTGTTTATAAAGGTCGCTTGGAAAGCACAGGACAGGTATGTTGTGCTTCTTTAGCAAAGAAACTCCATTTTGTATGGATTTTGCGTTCCAGCAGAGAAAGACATTTGAGTTCAGAGGAAAAATATCATCTGTGCTGTGTGTTAGTCTTTACCTTTAGGTATAAACGAGTGCCAAAACTGTTAAAGTTTTTGCCTCCGGACCTGTCAATGTGTCTATTTCTTGGGATTTCAATCACTTGTCCCATCTTCACCTCATTCACAATTTTCATGGGTGAAAAATGTCCATGTTTTCAGGTAGTTGCTGTGAAACAGCTTGACCGAAATGGCCTTCAAGGAAATAGAGAATTTTTGGTGGAGGTTCTCATGCTTAGCCTCTTACATCATCAAAATCTCGTCAACTTGATTGGTTACTGTGCGGATGGGGATCAGCGTCTCCTTGTTTATGAATTCATGCCATTGGGATCTTTAGAGGATCATTTACATGGTGAGACAGCTTGTCTTTTTACTTATGACAGTTTTATATATGATATTCGTTTGACTTTCTGCCCAAAGTTCAAGGGTTCTGTCATTGAATTTTGATGAGAGTAAAATGCATATTCAGGAGGATTTGTTTCTTGGTTCTCAGTGTCATATCTTGTGATTTTTCTCCGTCTACGCATACATTTTATGATAAATAGACAAGTACCTTGGTAAATGTTCATTAGGACCTGCATATCGATGAAATCCTGATTTATGATGTATTTGGTGGCTTTGTGCGCGTATATGTGTGTTTTGACATGCATCTTCGTATGAGCATCTTCATTTGGTTGTAAGCATGCATGCATGTGTATTCCTCACGCAGCTTGACAATCTAGATCAAACTACGTAAAGAACAAAAGACATGAAAAAAATAAGAGATCCTATATATATTGAATAAGTGAAAAACAGGTACAAGAGACAATATATAGTAAACCCTACAATAACAAAAAGACTAAACTACCCCTAAATGATATGTAGATAACTAGATATTATCACAATCTTAACATCTATCTAACAATGTGCTGCTAAACTAGAGTCATAAATTATAAAGTACCTAAGCCTCAATTTAGACTTCAACTCATTGCACTGTGGATTAGTTGAACCCCAGATCTTGCCCTTGGGCATGCACAGGCATGCTTCAATGCTACAATAGTGAAATTTGCCTCTGGTCCCTTTTAATCATTTGAGCTTAAGTCTTAGTTTCCATCTTCTTGTTGGGGAGAATGTGGCTGCGAATAGCGGACCATATCAATGATGGTGGATAATGAATATAACTTTATGTTTATAATAGTTTCTTGAATGGCTTTAAATGAGAGTTTTTTCTTCCCTTCCTTGTTGACCCAGGGTGCAACTTGGGCAACACAATCCAAACCCAATTTGAAAACAAATGCTACTTGGGCAGATTTACCATTCTAGAGTTGGGCATGGGTGAAAAAACCCAATCTGATTTGTACTCGGGCATTAATTAGGATGAATTGTTGGGTTGTACAGATTTAACCCGTAACCATCCTGAATTGCATAAATCGGGTTGAACTCGAAAATGCATAATCTAATCCAACCCCATCTGTCTTTTTATACTTTTCTCCCCACTCAGTTATGTTTTTCCTTTAGAAGACTTCCAGATTCCATATTCTATCTCTCTCACACACACAAAGGGAATCTAGATTGCACCACCAGGTCCGCTTACCCTCTATATCTCTTCTCCCTGCAATAGTCTCATGGTTCTCCTCTCTCTCTCTCTCTGACACACACACACAACCCACAGTCATATTGGAAACTCCCCAACCGAAGCTCCCACAACCATTGAAAGAATCACACCACCACTAGCTTGCCACCACCACTGAAAGCTATATATTCGTGCTCTTTGGGATGAAATTAAAATTTGTATGTAGTGGAGTTGGGCTTAGATATCTGTGTAGATTTGGTGGAAATGAAGTTGAATTTGGTGGAGTGACAGAGAATAATATTTTTGGTGTGCAGCGGAGATGGTGAATACAATGGTGTTTGGGGGTGGGGGTCTCACTCGCAAGCAGGCATCGGAACCCCAAATTGCACTTTGGTGATGGTGACTGTGTAGTCGATGTGTGAATGAAAGAGAAGATCTCCTTGTTCTCTTCTCAGATTTGATTCCATAGTGTGTTTGAACAGTTTGGTGTGATGTGTGTCAGAAACCCAAATTACAACTCGAATTAAATAACCAGAGTTCAACATGATATTGAAAATCTAAACTTGGGCAGTACAAGGATTGGGAGACTCGGGTTAGGAAAGTATTGGGATTGAGAGTTTCATAGCTTGCTTTGAGTCTGGGTTGACCTTCCAACCCGTCCAACAAATTGAGGGACAATGGTGGAATGAGCATAGACTTGCACTACATGGATAAATCCAAATCAAACCAAAATATACGAAACAAATCCTTTTTCCAATTATTTGAGTTAGTATATTTGAATCTTTTTCCCCTTTCTGCTCTGTTGAGGGTTATAGGTTCTGTGACATTACAAGCAACTAAATCCTTCTCAATTATCTCACTTTGTATTACTTTGGTCTTCCCTTTCGTTAGCATTTCTTTTTTTTTTTTGGGTCAATTCATAAGCATTTCCATTAGTGTCATTTTTGTCAATTGACCTTATCAGTCTCTTACTGTTTTTGCTACATGTGTTGAAACCGTTGTGATTGTTTTTCTCTCAATTTATATGTAATTGATGCTTCTTTTACTGTCTCATGAATTCATTTTATTTATTTTATTATATAACCATCTTCATATCCTTATTTCAGCTACACTTATTTGATGAACATCTGGTTTCTTATGTACCCAAAAGTGTGTTCCTTAATGTATAACATTGTAACCATCCAATAAAATTCTGTTTTGTTTGATGAATTACTGTCTGACTGCACAATGGAACAGTTGGATATAAATAAAGTTCCCAAGCTGCTCTAGCATCCTTGTTCGATGTAACTAGGAATTGATGACCCTTTTTTTCCAGCAAACTTCTACTTCTATGTGTATAGAATGTACGAAATACATGATTCAAAAGAAATTAATTGCAGGGTGTGGCCAATTGAACTTTTGTGCATTGTATTCCCTTTATCAGAACCAATTATAAATATAATAAGTCATACAACCCACTTATTGGATAATTTTTTTGTCTTCAACCTGTTCTAATATCATTGAAAATGATAAATAGATCATTCAACCACCACTTGTTGGCTGATAGTTTCGAATCTGTTTCATCATTGGATTTTGTTAGTAAGAGCAACATAGATAAAAATGTAGAGATGCCCTGAAGTGTAGAGGGTCACAAGGATTAATCATATTCTTTGGCCCTTCCCGAACAAAATTTACAAGTAAATAACTGCATTTTATGGAAACCTACCTGATCTCTCTCTCTCTCTCCTTTTCTTGCCCAGAACTTCCACCAGACAAAGAGCCTTTAGACTGGAATACAAGGATGAAGATTGCTGCTGGTGCTGCTAAGGGATTGGAATATTTGCACGACAAAGCGAACCCTCCTGTGATATACAGAGACTTAAAATCGTCCAACATCCTTCTTGATGAGGATTATCATCCTAAGTTATCAGACTTTGGACTTGCGAAATTGGGTCCTGTTGGTGATAAGACTCATGTATCGACACGGGTGATGGGAACATATGGTTATTGTGCTCCCGAATATGCCATGACTGGTCAGCTCACTTTGAAATCTGATGTTTATAGTTTTGGAGTCGTCTTTCTTGAAATTATTACAGGGCGCAAGGCTATTGACAACACCCGGCCTCAAGGAGAGCAGAATCTTGTTGCATGGGTAAGTAGCTCTTCTCTCAACACATTCATTCTATTGATTTCTGAACTGTAATCAATTGTTTTAGCACAAATTGATGCACAATTACTTGGCAGTAAATCTTTTAGTATGTTGAAATAACATAAAACAACTAAAAAAAAATCTGTTCCTTTTAATTCGTGTGATGGATTTGTAGGCACGGCCACTTTTCAAGGATCGCAGGAAGTTTCCCAAAATGGCCGATCCACTGCTGCAAGGTCGATATCCGATGCGAGGACTTTATCAAGCACTAGCTGTAGCAGCCATGTGTTTGCAAGAACAAGCTGCGACAAGACCGCTAATTGGGGATGTTGTGACTGCTTTGACATATTTAGCCTCCCAAATTTATGATCCAAATGCAGCCAATGGCCAAAGTAACAGAGTTGGCCCATCGACTCCTCGGAGCAGGGAGGATCGGAGGAACATGGCAGATGGGCTAGATAGCCCAGATGGCCGCCATAGTTCTCCTTCCACCCATAAAAACTCTCCTGATTTCAGAAAAAGAGACTCACTCAGGGAATCAAGCAGTGGCGCAGAGTTGAGAAGGATTGAAACCAGTGGTGGGTCAGGGAGGAAATGGGGTTTGGATGAATCAGACCGTCCTGATTCTCAGAGAGACAGCCCTGTCAGTGCTGGTAGAGCTAGAGAAACTCCAAGAAATCGAGATCTAGACAGAGAACGAGCAGTTGCAGAGGCGAAAGTGTGGGGTGAGAATTGGAGAGAGAAAAAGAGGGCTAATGCAATGGGTAGCTTTGATGGTACAAATGATTGATTGCACTGAAATTCCTAGGCATTGTCACCGAGTCTTCTACAAACAAATGTATGTTCAGAGGCTATCATGAACATGAGGTGAAGTCTGCAGATACATCATCATTCACTGTCATGGTTTCTACGTTCATTCATGGAATAAGAGTTCTTTTATCCTACTTTGACCGGTGTTGGAGATGCAGTGTTAAAGGAGTACTTGGAGGAGGGAAAAAGGAGGGGGGGTTTACTGTTGCACCATGTTAGTATTATGTATTTTTGGGCTTTTTGAAAAGTTCATGATACAGAAGAAAATGTGGGAAGATGTCTAATTTTTGCTCCATATGTTGTCTTGTATATGGGGAAACTTGGTGGGTTTGATTTGGGTTATCTCAATTGGTATGTTGGTACATCCAGTATGGTTATATAGGCCCATTGTGTATGTTTTTCTCTGAGTTGGTCATGTTTTTTTCTTATACAAAGAAGTTTGACCATCGTAGAGCAATGTCTTTATGTATGTGCATTTTTGGTTGTTATGAACGTGTACGAGAACCGATGTTCTGTAAAGCTTATAACATGAAAACTGTCCCAGCTGCTGTAAAAGTTGAAGATTATAGAATTAAATTACACTTACACCCCCTAAAATATCACCCTTTTTCCACTTTGCCCCTCTCAATCATCAAATTTTCACGTTATCCTCAACTAACACCTTTGTTTCACATTGCCACAATCACAAATTTTTGGTATCTTTTTTTGAGAGAAATTGCTGACATTTCAAGATAAAGTGAAAAATTACATATTTTGGAAAATAAAATAAAATAACTTTTCATTAAATATATAACAAAAATTAATAGGTGAGACAGTGTGAAACTAATGATAAAATTAAAGGTGCAATGTAAAAAATTTGGTAATTAAGGGGGCAAAATATAAAAAGGGTATAGTTCAGGGGGACGGGGGGTATGACCATAATTTATGCAAGATCATACTGTATCCAGTGCACAAATCTTATTCCTCTTAACGAGCTAAGAAAAAAAAAAAAATATATATATATATATATATATATACAAGTAAATATTAACAAAACTCCCCTCTATTGTTTTGAAAGAAAGCAATTTCCAAATTGGACATTCTATTGCACCATTTAGTCTGACATATTTGCCGATTATTTGGGAACTCAAGAATTAGGTGAGTGCAAGACGTTAGTAAAAACAATCAATAAACGAAGCGATTAGTCCAATGCAAGGGAGTTATATTCAACAATGTGCTCGTAAGTCGCAAACATCTTTTTCACGCAAGCAAATTTGTTCTTATTTGCAATTATTACCCATTTGACAAAGCCAAACACAGCACACCAAACATCTTTCTCATATCTTCTTGGCTTGGATGTGAGAATTCTAACAAGCAAATCGATGGTATTCAAAGTAAACCTGGCATCTGGAAACATATGCAACCGGGCCTTCAGACAAGATCATCTTGTCATAGCCCTTCTCATGTTACTTAACGCAATCAAAGTAGGCTGTATATTTCATTTCTACAACTTTTTAAAGCTAATCTATAATGTAAATCTATTGCCCTTTCCTGCCAAGACTTCTGGACACATATCCCAAAAACAGAAGGCAAATGTGGTGGCATCTAGAGATGCAAACACCAGGGCACCTCCGTACAGTCATACTTACCATAGGTTTCAACAAAAATAGATAGTGAAATTGTATTTCAGCATCATTTTCTCCTCTTTCCCTGCAAGAAGACAATCCACCTTCAGCCTAGCTAAACATGTACGAAATGCTAAGGTAGAGAAAGAACATTTTCTGCTAAACGAGAACATGTACCGAGCTCACATAATCATCCATTAGTAATTGCTTCCGCTTCTTCAAATTAGAAGGGGGAGGGGGGCTCTCAGCTGCCTGCCTGGCCAAGGCACGTTTGGATGGCGTTGTGTTTTGCTAAAAAAGGAATAACAGTCAAGATTAGCAACGAAAGATGAACATTATAAGCTTCACTCCATTGTCGTAATCATCCATATATATATGTGGACATATAGCAAAAAATGTCCGACAATAAATCACGACACTGAAAATAAAAAGTGGAACAGAAAGAAATTCAACCTTGGCAAGTTTCTTCTCTTTACGAGCCTGTCTCTCCCTTTCATCAAATTCTTGGTTTTCCCTCTCCACCAACCGGATGAGTGTATCACATCTCCTTGCAAGTTCTTGAGTGGTGCGTGACTTCACAAACCAATCAAATCGGAACAATGGTGACGTGCGAAAAGCTGCCTTCAGCTCATCCCAGTTCCCATACCCAAGTTTGTGAACCATGCATATCTGTAGGGCACAGTTGGTAACTGACCTAAGAAATCTGGCATGATAACAGAATAAACCAACAGACGCCATATGCCAGAAATAAACTCGAGGTTCCAAAATCTCACCATGAAGCGATCGCATTCTTCATTGTACAACTTTCCTTTGTTCTGACCATACTGAATCTTCAATTCCAGCCATGGATTCTTGTAACGATCCAATTTCTTCCCAATTGCTTTCATGATCTCATCTTTCCGAGAAATTCTAGCTTCTCCTCTCTCAATATTCTTGATAATTCTATCATAATCTGGAAAAATCATATTTAGATAGATTTAGTTACCCAATGTGCAGTAAAACCCCTAGCAAACCAATTATCCCACAACAACCAGCCATTAGTTTGATTCATAACACATATGAATATATAAAAAGGTACTTGTAAAATCAATTTCATGCAATTCAACCATCCACACCACACAATAGTTTGTCCTGAACCAGAACTTAACCCATTCCAATCTAGCTGATATCTAAAATCTAGTTAGTTCTGAAATCGGTGACAGATATCCACCGCATCCACCATTTTTTATGCTATTAGAAGTAATTGCCTCGACTTGACTCGAAAAACCTTGGTCCTAATTTATTCCCAAATCTGGAACTTCTGTTTTGATTTTTCTTTGCTTCTAAAAAAATTTGACTTTGCTCACCATTTAATTCCTTGTATCTTTCTTTGAAAACTTTTGCATATCTTTCAACTTCCTCCTCTGATTTTCCTTCCATTTCAAATGCAATACTTTTCACATCATTTCGACCATACTTCTCACAAGCCCTAATAAAAGTATTGAAGTCTCTTCTGCTCCATGTTGAAAATCCCTACAAATCACAATCTGTCATGTTTAGTTAAGAGGCCAACAAAGAAATAAAAAAAAAAACAACAATAATGCACTCACCTCCTCCAATAGACGCTCTTTTTCTTCCTGCTCTTCAGCAGTCAAAGGATCTCCCAACTCTAGATAGTCAACATTCAATGAGGAGTATTCTCACTATAGAAAAGAGGTCAGCTAAAAAAGGCACAAGAGAAGTTAACATACCTTCAGGTTCATCCACATCTATTGTGTCTTTCAACTGATTCTTTTGATGTGTTTGCTGAAAATTGTCAAAAACAAAACAAATACAATAAAACAGATACTTATGTATCCTAAATCACAAGCTGATGATGAAAAGAAAGTTATGAAAGCTCAAAATGCTACCCACCATTAGATAGCGCACTTCTTTTTCATAGAGCTCACTGAGCCTTTGTGTGTTGAAGAACTGAAAGTCATGCCTGACAAATGCAACCAATATAAAGTAACTGAGAAATAGAGCAGCTGAGAACATTAAGCCCAGTAAAAGAAGGAAAACAATTTTAAAGCTGTTTACAGCTGAGGCATGCGAGGAATTCGAGGCTCTTTTGGTCTTGCTGGACCACTTTGGCGCATTGTTTGCTTGAAGTATTCGGATTCAGAGTAACTAATACAAGTGGAAGAAAAATCATATTTCAAATGATAGATGTAGTTGAACAAAATATAAAAACTAAAGAAGCCTGAAAGACACTAAAAAGCTTTGGCAATTGAAGAAATGTACTTGCGCTTCCGCTCCCTTTTTGGTGGCTCAATCCAATTTTCACTGACAATTTTCTTGAAATCAAACTTGTTCTCATCCTTCATATACAAAAAATAAAGCAATGGAGGGTAAAAAATCAAACAAGGATGTTAAAACTCAGTACAGTAACACAAGCGACGTCTGATTTGACCTTTTCATCATCAAAATCATACAAATCAGCAGCTGCGCAAAATCAAATATTTTTCATTTAGCCTTGTGTAGCAAAAGGATAAATATAAATAATTATAGAAAAAAGGCCAGACAAACAAATGCGTACTATCGTCCATTTTGAATTTGATGGCATCCTCTGTAAATTTCTTCATCTTAGCATCAAGCTCGGCTGTCGCCTCTTCTCCTTTAGCAATGATCCTATCGATATCTTCATCAGTGATTGTGCTATCCTTGGAACTGAAAACCATCTCAGCACCAAATCTCACCATTTGCAGCAACTCATCTTTATTAACAGCTGAACAAAACACCATAGGAAGTAAATATATTGCTCATACAAAATACATGATAAAAAGGGAGGTTGTATCCCAGAGTGAGAATGAGATAGAGAGAAGGGGGCAAAGAAAAAAAACCGCTGCTTACTCTTTTGCTCTGCAAGTCGCCCTTGTTGGATAACCAATGCATCCAGTGCAAGCTTTTTGTAAGCCCTCTCAATCACTTTCTCTTCAATAGTATACTGATCATAATCAATTGGATGGGAAAATGTATCAATGCATGATAGTTCAAAACATTTTAGTTCCTAACGCATTACATGGCAACAAACTGAACCTCAGTGCAGAATCGGAACACTTGGACTTCTTTCTTCTGCCCAATTCTATGAGCACGGTCCTGAGCCTGTAAATCAACTTGTGGGTTCCTGCAATGTGACGGAAATGAGATCCTTTAAATATCATATCACAATCCCCTAGCATGACGAACAATGGAAGAAATTCTCACCAGTCACTGTCATAAAGAATGACAACATCTGCAGTAGCAAGATTGATTCCGAGGCCTCCAGCTCTAGTTGATAGTAAAAAGACAAATTTCTCACTTCCAGGCTTATTAAAGGCATCAATGGAAGCATCACGATCATCACCACCAGTATTTCCATCTATCCGGCAATATAGGTATCCACGGAACATTAAGTAATCTTCAAGAATGTCTAGCAGTCTTGTCATCTGAATAACACCACAAGGAAGTTGCTCATCCAAAAAAGCAAAAGCAAAAAATGTATAAAATAGAGAAAATTCTAGGCTATATATATATGGCTAAACCTGTGAAAATATTAGGACCCTTGAATCACGCTCCTTTAGTTTTGGCAGCAACTTATCCAAAAGAACCATTTTGCCTGCAATAAACAAAATCATTAGGAACCAGAAAAAGATAGCTTTGACAATACAAGGAACAAGATGGATCAAAATGTCTCATATAAGTAAGACAATTACCAGCATTCTCGATAAGATGGTCTCCTGTAGTATAGGGAGGACCAGGTTCAGCCCCTTGGAAAAGATATGGGTGATTACAACATTTGCGCAGCTGCATTGCTATATTCAGAAGACGTTTGCGCTCCCCACCAGCATTCACAACTTCAAGATCTTTCTGCAATAGAGCCCTATAATACTGCTTCTGCATTTGGGACATACCAACTTTAAGTATTGTTTCCTTCTTGGGAGGCAAACCTTTCTCAACATCTGACTTCAGCCTTCGGAGGAGGAATGGTCGGAGGACCTTTCATTGTAGAAACAAGGACAATAAGACAATCAGCTTGTAAGATGGAATCAACCAGGCTAAGAAACATTCATAGTACATTTGATGGTGTATTGGGCTAGCATCAAGCTCAAAGGTAGATCTTCTCAAATGGTAGTTTGTGTGTATACATTCCCCCTCTTATCACATACGGGTTAAATGAAATCAGAGCAAATTTGAAAAGTCATATCACTGGAGGAGGAAGTGTGCAGAATATGGAAAGAGATGTAAGGTTGACTTGCTGGATACAGATGTGAATTAAATCTCAGCTAACAAATGAGTGCAGGGGAATTCTTACATCCAAAAGGAGTTCTTAGTCAATAGAATTGGTTGGAAAGTCGGTTAATATAATACTAGGGTGATGTTGAAAAGGAACTGTGTATGCCAATTAGAGCGCCATGCTGATGTTGTCCGCTTGTTTCAAAGGACATTGGCCTTTTTTTACCTAGAAGGTTGGCCCTCAATGAGATTACACTTGTATCTTTAGCATAAGCTTGGTCTTGCCTAGCAAAACATGAATGTGCTTACCTTGTGAAGCTGTTGAACAACCTCCTGCTGGTCATTATCACCAGAAATTTGGAACCATTCGTCGAAAGTTTCAGCTGAGCTAAAAATCTCTGGCAGTAGAAAGTTCAGAAGAGACCAGAGCTCATGAAGATTATTCTGCATATTTAATATATACCAAGAACATCAGATATCCATCAATTTAACAAGTTTGGAGGAAAAGGGCAACAGCTCCTACAAGGGATCAAGAATAACACTTTTAAAAAATAAAAATAAAAGAACCACATTCCCAGTTGTCAGGGCTCTTATTTTGACTTGGGCATTGCATGGAAAACAAGGCCAAGTAATAATATATTCAACCATGCAACAACAGAATAAGACTGGGATCATAATGCTGGTATGAGAACAAAATTAAAGAACACATCACCATCAAGTAGGAGACGTAAGGTAAGACAGATCATAACATTGGTATAAAACAAAAAACTAACGTAAATTACCCAAAATTATCTAACATATTTATATTTAACTAAAATAAATATGTCAAAAGCTTAAAAGTAGTCCATTAATTGCACTCTTTCTTCCCAACATGCTGAATTCCAACACAATAAAATTTTGCAGTCAGATAGGAAGTTTGTGATATTTTCATACTCCATAGCAAAAGTAGTCATGAATGGAACAGTAACCACAGCATAGTGCATCTCATATACCATCACCAAGATGATATGTGAAAACATAGAAGGGGAGAGGTTGTAGGAGTAGAAGTTAGAAATGTATGACACATTGCAGGCATCTATCAAATGAATGCTCAAGCTCTGTAGCTATGTTACCTCAATCAAGTTCAATTATTCAAACACAACCACAGTTTTCCACTATGAGGGTCAATGCACAGGGAGAGAATATGAGGTGAACAGCTCCCCTAATTACCCAGCAACCCATTTGAAAAACAAAAAGCAACCAGGCAAGTTTCCATACACTGACACGTACGAAACAAAAATTACCTGAAGTGGTGTACCAGTGATAAGAAGCCGGTAATTAGTACTGTAAAGTCTCATTGTTTTTGAAAGAAGTGAATTCTCATTCTTGATTCGATGAGCTTCATCAATTATAATATAGCGCCAGCTAAAGCGGCGTAACGACGACTTCTCTTTGATGGCCATTTCAAAACTAGTGACACATACATCAAATTTCCCCGCAACAAGTAACTCATCACGTATATATCTCTGCAAAATTAAATGTTGATAAATAACTTAGCAAAAAAAATCTGACAACCAGATATGGAATGGCTTACCCTTTCATCAGGATTTCCGAGAAATTTTACAGCACGCAGAATTGGACAAAAACGGCGAATTTCATTCATCCAGTTACCAAGTGTAGATTTTGGAGCAACAACCATATGAGGACCTGTAATTCCCCTAAATTCCTGCAGATAGCCCAGTAAAGAGATGGTTTGCAATGTTTTACCAAGCCCCTGAACAATAGTAAAAAGAGAGAGCCATAATCAGTATACTGATAGATCAAAGCAAAGTTGCTTTCAATGATATGGTAAGAGAAACTGATGCAATTGCTGAAACAATGGTAGTCCACAGAAGCAGCACTTCAAAACATACCATTTCATCTGCAAGGATTCCATTTATACCATTCTCATACAGCCGTATGAGCCAGTTCAAGCCAGCAAGTTGGTAATCCCTCATCTTTCCCTGAATACCTGCAGAAAAGAATATCCAAAAATTATTAGAGGTGCCTCAACCAAAAGAAGAACCACCAACACCACAAAAACCCGTCAACAAAAAGCATCTTTATAAACTCAAAAACATTTCAATCTGACACAGACATCCCACTTATTATGGAACCATTTTTTCACAAAAACATCAGCATCAGAATTTTTTGACAGAGATACCAGCACAAACCAAAAACATTTCAATCCAAGCACAAATCATTCAATAAACTACAAATTTTGCCATTATTGGCTTTGAGGGCCCGCAGAAACAAGGCAACAACATAAACAATTCGAGGACCACAGAATAAACAAGTCAACAAGAAATGTGACTTGACCATTTACTTAGTAGCTATAACTTACAAATTTTGTTTTTAAGACACCGAGAATGATGGGCCAAAAGCCGATAAGTGTAAGTGAAACATTGCACTCAAGATAGGTCAGGTATCCTAGAAGTAAAACTTAAAAAGGAAAACTTCAAACTAAGAACACTGAAAATAATAGGATCTCAGGTCCACACACTTTGTGCAAAGGCTTGCCAGTCATATACATTCATAAACAAAGTTCAACAATATATCGATCTGCTCACCGCTGCTGCTGGTACTACACACTCAAAAGCCCACACGAGAGAGACAGAGAGAGTCCTAATAAAAAGGTTGAAGCAAACACACACAAAAAAAAACTGGAGATAGAGATAAAGATCTTACAAGAGGGTTGTGCCACCAGTCGTGTGTTTCCTGTTCCAGAAAGGCCATCTTCTTCCTCCTTGAGGCATTCTTCATCTTCTTCCTCTTCAGTTACCTTTGATGCATGGCGACCCCTAAGCCACACAATTAGGTGAATAAACCCATCACTGAGTTGGATCATATAATGGATTACAAAAAAAATGATGGGTTGCAAACAAATTAGAAATTGATCCATCCATTTTTCTTGGAGATGTAGTTGTGGGAGGACATACATTAACAAGGTCCAACCCTTTGTTTGTGTCAGTTATGTTACAAGCTTATAACAAGCAATACATTAAATGATGACAAAAGAACAATACAAGACACATGAACTTTAGAATTGCAATGGCAACCAAGAAGGATTACAGCAAATGAAGTGAAACTCATCCACCGTTCTCTTCAAAGCCTATAAAAATTCAATTCACTCCACATGATATAATCTCATAATCACCAATTTTGACTTCTATTACCAAAGGGAAAAAGAATTCTACATTACAGTTCCACTTATTCATAGCAGTTGAATAAAGGTCCAGTAAAATTATACTTTTCAGAAGATTATATGCTATACCTTCCCTTTGACTTCTTTTGAGATGCAGATTGATCACCTTTAGCAAAATGAGCAAATAACTCTGTCTGCTGCAAGAGATACTTCAATCTACCCTTTCCCTTGTTGTTCTGCCATAAAAAAACCAATATTAATGCAAGTCTTCCCAAATGATATACTGAAGTAAAAAATAGCCTATGGAATTACAATTTACAAGTTCTAATTGACACACCATATCAGCATCAATAGCAGCATTTTGTTCATCCAATATTTCTTGTATCTTTTGTTTCTTCATCTTCTGCATCTCCTTTAGCCTGGCCCTCTCACGTTTCCCAATTTCACCAGCTGCTACATTTTCATCCTACAAGAAATAGAGAAACAATGTAACGACAATAAGTACCAACAAAACACCACACTATCATAACTATCCACATAAAAGCCGATAAGTGTTTAAACTAAAAGCTGATAAATGTTTAAACCATATGGCAATGATTATGCTTCACTACTAAGGTTGAGAATCTGGTTCAACAATATGTTATCCAAAACCAAATAATCAGAACCCATGTCATCATAAATAATTCAATAATCTGCTATTAAGAACCTCGTAGGCTCCAAAGTGAGACCAGATAAGAATTGTGTTAATAAAATGTTGAACAAATATTACCACCACTCTTACTGGGAGAAAAATTTATCGCCTTTTTCCTGAAGGCTAAGAAAATCACCACATTCTGATGCCTCCATCTAAAATGTGGGAAAAGTGAAAACAATAATGCAAAGAAGTTTGGAACTATAATTTATAAAACATTTAGGCACTGAGAAAGGGTAACGGTTCCACACAACTAACCCAGAACCAATTACCAAGCCCAAACAATGTGCATGGTTTGGTTAGAGGGTAAGCGAAGGAAGAGAAGAGAACGGAAACTAAAAAAGGAGGAAAGAGGAGTCCAGGAGCAAATACGTTTCTACTTTCCTCCCTTCAGTTTCCTTCCTCTTTGAAAGTTAGAATAAAAATTTAAACAAACTCTAGAGGGAACTGAAATTTCAGTTTAAAATCTCTCTTCCACTCTCTCACCAACCATCACTGTGCGTGCAGCTAATCAACTTTCGGAGGAAATTGGCTGCTGAAATATAAAGTTTTGAAAGAGATCGCACGCCTATCATCTCTGCTATCAACCATCCTGCTATATTTTTCCTCCTCCGCCTAGTTTGGTGGATATTCAAAGGGATTTACTTTGTTTTCGTCCAAAGAACATTTCCCGTATTAGAAGCAGTGGCAATCGGTAGCCACACATTACCTAAACATGCCAGAGAGAATCCTCACATTTTAACCTCCATAAAAGATCAATGCATGCAAATATAAACGAAAAATTACTGAACTAAACTAAAAAAACCTAGAAAAAAACACTCATTTTATACACTACACACATCAACACAACTGATTCATCTCCAATTCACAAAACCAGCAAAAACCTACAACATCAAACCCAAAGACGACAAATTCCACAAAAACCCTACCGCACCAGTCAGATCTAATGCACATAGTCAAGAGAAACGAAACTGCAAGGGAAGCTGAACTCCAAGTACAAATTCGTAAGTTCACCTCGTTGTCCTCATCGTCCTGGTTTTCACCGGCGGCGTCGTTCTCTTCATCATCGGAATCGGCACTCCTCGCGACGGCCTCCAGCTCTTCCTCGTCCTCCTCATCGTTGACCTGACCGTCGATTTGCTCTTCCTCCGACGAATTTGAGCCGTTGGATAGAGCCTCGTCCGACGAGTCCTTCGCCTTCGAGGGTTTCGCCATGGGTTCAACTTGGAGATTGAGGATTCCGCAGGAAGGAAAGTCGAAGTGTAGAGAGAGAGAGAGAGAGGTAATATTAGACCGCCGACAAGTGGGTATTTATACCCGGTTTGATTATAAAAAAGGGTTGAGGTGTACGGATAGTTAAATGTGGGACGAATAATTTCCCGCCAAGGCAAGATGCATGTGAATCGCCATTTCCCGCTTTGAGCCTTGGGTCCAGCCAGTAGGCTTGGGTTTGGGCTCCCTCCTTGAGCCATGGATCTAGCCCTTGGGTTCCGATTTGTTCCTGGGCTCAAACCGGAGCAAGAGTCGCGCTCGAGCGAACTCTAGACTCGCTCGAGCGACTACATTAATTAACCATCAACAGGTTCGAAATTTTTGTACCTATTCTCGTCTATTTCACAAGTAGATTCATCATTGTCTACATTATCGAAAGATTATAATTTTCTTAACAAAATTTGTTGGGGTATGTGAACATCTTGTGTGTTGCACTTTAAAATGTTGATGCAATGGCATAGTCATGGCGTGATATCACTTAATATCGAATTCATTATAGGTGACGCGTAAAGATTTTAGTAGTTTATGAGTTTCAGCATATTTGTAAGTTTATTTCAGGAACGTGTGTGAAAAATAAAACATGATTTTATCTTAATAGATTATAATTTGTATGATATATACACATGAGCTTTGTGTTTGTAAAAATCCCGTGAGAATTCAAGTAAGTCAACTTACTTGAAGTGGAAGTACAACACCCCCCCCCCCCCCCCCAACATCTTGCAGCTGTTTTTGGACATAGTTTGCACATTACCGCAGTTGCACTTCAAACATTACTAGGCTAGTGCTATTGTTTTGAGCATATGCTTATATTTTGTACAGTATTGCAGTTGTTCATTGTGTGTAATATTACTGAACTTTATACATGTCTTTTTGTAACTTCCATGGACTATTTTTAATGTTTCTAGTGATTCTGAATGATACATCATTGTTCATTTTCCATTCAATCTTTGTTTCTTCAGCAAAAATATCCCATTGCAACCAGGGTATTCAGAGTTACCATGTTCTCTCACATGCATAATCATCCACAAACTATGTCGTTGGGTAAACTGTTACTTGTATTTGAAGTCTCGAGATGGCAAATGCTGATGCTTTTCAATTGGGGGCAATTGAATCTCCTTGCGTAGGGAGGGTCAGCCAATCCAACTTTCAGGTATCAAGATAGATTCCAAGCGTGGATGAAATTCATAAGGGATTCCGTTATTTTTTTTCAATATCTGGAAAACAAATGGGATTATAGGATTCGATTCGCAAATATGTATTTGCATACCTATTCTGCAAGCTGCCAAATATGTCTCTAAACTGAACAAAAAATGCAACTATATGCGATCATGCGGGGCAATGAAGAAGCTTGAAATTATGATAAGATGAATAGAATACCAACTTCCTTAAGGTCCATCTTGATATACAGCCCTTTAATGTGTTTCACCAGAAAAGTATCATTACATGAACCACAAGTACACAGTAGACTATGATAAACAAAGATCAAGCACATAACAACTGTAGTGTCATCCATCCATTTTGTCCTTCGATTTGTTTTCTTCAGATCTTTGTTGATGTTTCAGTCGCACGTTCCTGCACAAAAAAAGCCTTTCTGTCATAAGTTTCTTTTCAAATTTGAATGCATCGTGTTTCTAAGATGACCGCTTGCTCAGCCTTCTTTTACAAGTCGAGTTAAGAGCTAGTATGCAACCGAAGTTTTATGACATGTTCCCGTATTGCTAAGAAAAAACGTACAAACTTTTGGTTTTATGACATGTTCATATGGCTAGAAAACACATATAATTCTCAAAGTTTAAGTTGTTAGAGAATATATGGGCTCTAAGAAGAATAGCAAGCTCTTGATCACATAAAACTTGAGGTTGCGATAGGGTACTAGGGGCCTATAATAAACCCTTTGTACTTCAGATTATCATGGCAACCAGAACAAAATGTTATGACATTAAGGGGAAGTCCAAATGCACTCTAAGGGAATCAGAGTCAAGGTGTAAATCTACATCAGAGATCAGCACACATGTAACTTGTACCTCATTAGCACTTGGAACCTTTTCTTCTGCAGTGGTTGCTGTCTCTTTTGCTGCGATGGGAGGCACCACTTCCCCATCTTTTGCCGGATTTTCTTCATTCACAGCCTTAACAGTCTCTTCTGCACATTTAAGGAGAATTGCAACGATGAATAATGAGTTATAACTATGGCCCTTGTTGTTAATTTGGGGGGTGGGTTAATTTATCGAACTTAATCATGCCAAGATTTGACTCGATTGTAGCTGGTCAATCTCAACCTCAACCACCGAGCTTAGATTCTTACTCAACCTCAATTCAGCAAACATTTATGAGGATTTGAACCAAGTGGTAAAAATAAAAGAGGAGGGGGACGACCAATAGGTAGTAACCCCTACATGTAACCATGAATGTCCCCACTATAGAATGTCCCGTTTGAGGCATAGCTACTAACCCAGTTAAAGCCATGCAGTAAACTGCATTATTCCTGTAAATCGAAAATACTTGACAACCACATAGGAGTTAAAGACGACCCTAAACAAATATGACTTACTACTAGACTATTAGCTCGGTTGTTTCTCAAATTTTCAACAAAAATTTAGAAAATTAAATCCTATAGCTTGATAATCAATCTCAAGGTAACTAATTTCTCAACCAAAATCTCACAAAACTAGTATAATCAACTGGTAAGTTAGATTTTTTCAAAATCTACTATAGAAGACAGAGATAAATAGAGAATTATATATGGTCTGGAGCTATTTGGAGATCAATTTGGAGATTGTTCATCCTCCGGAAAGTGGTTGTATGACGGTAAACTATAATTCCTTATACAAATGAACATATTCAAGTCAAGCGTCCTCGTTCTTTAGATTAGTCTCATTCACAAAATATATAAAATTCTTATTTTGTAATTTAAACGAGTCTAAGCATCCAAAAAAGAAAGCAAATTTAAAAAGCTTGATCAAAAGAAAGAAAGAGATAACTCCAAGAGGGACGTCAAGACTCTGGTAAAAAAGATGAATTGTAAATTAAGATTTGTTGAACTCTAATTTTGATAATTTCATGAAGTCAAGTCAAGTCAGACATAGAGGGGACTAATGGAAGTATACTTAAACTGGTTCGTGCACCTGACCATTGAGAGAGAGAGTTGAGGCCACAAACCATTCATAGTTTCTGGTTTTGTCTCTGCAACAGATCCTTTCTCCTCCGCAACATCATCCAATTTCACGTTCTCTTCAGCTGCACCCATCTTGGCCTCAATATTTTCCTCATCCCTCCTCAATACATAACTTGATTCATCACCTTTCTGATCTTCTTTCTTCAATTCTATATCTCCACTCACCTCTTTCTCATCATCAACAGCCTCCCCACCATGTTTGCTTTCTTTCACAGAGCCATCCTTTTCAGAATCCACGTTCTCATCTTCGATATTTTTCACAGTCAAACCATCAGGGTCCTTCTTGTCTTGGTCTTCAATCTCATTCTCTTTCACATGGCAAACACCCGAGTCGCAATTAGAAATTCCGCTCTCTTCTTGTTGATCCGACGGCAACGTGTTTGTGTGGGTGTCATTGGTGGCCTTTTCAGGGATGATTTCTATGCCTTCGCTGCTCTTGGTGTCATCTTTTTTGCTAATAATTGTATTCCCTGTGGCAACTTGATGCTTTGATTCCCCACAACCCATTTTGTTGAGTTATGAGAGAGAGAGAGAGATGGTGATCTGAAACTGAAAGGCTTTGTTGGGTTTTTTGTGCTGTCTGTTAAAGCTTTGGGATGGACAAACTTTGGTATATGTATTTGAAAGAAAGGCCCTTTTTTCGTTACATTGGAGGGTTGAGATTGAGACTTCGTTGGCAATGAAGTGTATATTTTAGGCAAATGATTGGGCAGCCGGCAATGGCATAGTAGCCGGAGAGACAACCTGTATGTATTGAGCATTGCTAAATAAGCTAACTAAGCATAAGTTTCTTGTCATAGATCCGGATCTTCTATTATTAGTTTTAAATGATGCCGTTTCACACCTAAATAACACCATTTAGAGCGACATCGTTTTGATATGAAACCACATCATTTGGAGGAACAACACTTTTATTGTACAACAGAAGATCCAGATTTTTCTATCATTATATACCCTGTAAATTCAGGATTTAAAAACAGTTAAAAAAGTCTTACCCTTATAAATAAATACACTCTTTTCACGACTTAAATTCCTGAACTCCGTATCACAACAACTTTTAAAAAAAAAGTAAAAGACCTTTCAACTATATAAACAATTGTGGTGATTATTTCACACCACCAATAATGATAATTGGTTATTGACATTATATCAAATCCTAAACTTCCTAATTTTAAATTCCAGCAACAGCTCTTCTCTTACTTCAAAATACAATCACATGGATGGACTACACTACACTTGAAGGTGAGTAACAAATAAATATGTGCATTATACTCTTTATAATAACTTAAAGCGATTAGAGCAATTTATAGATAAAATAGTCTTTATGTACATTATACTCTTTATAATAACTTAGAGCAAATAGAACAATTTATACATAAAAGTCTTTTTCCTTAGATCATAAAAAAAGTTCATTGTTCTGTAACAACGATGGTGGGGTTATTAGTTTAATTTTCAGATAGTTGACAAAGACCGAACGAAACTTGAAAAAATTACTTGGATTTGACTAGAGTAATAGAACTTGAGAGACTTAAAAGTTAAGAGCAATGTAATAACAAATAATCGTATATGCCATCCTCAATTCCTCGTACATTAGTAAAAGACGAACTGAAAAAAAAAAAAGTAATATAAGTTGATTCAGCTTATATAAGATAGGTAAATGCTAATTTTTATAGAGATTGATGTCTAATTTATTTATTTTTTTAATTTAACGGTAAAAGATATTTAGGTCAATTTACGTACACCTCACCTAATCTTTTTTTTTCTGTCGTTAAAAGACAGGTCATCCATGTCGAGATTAAAGTATTCGTGATAGATAAATTTTTAATAACTTGATCTCATGAGATTACTAAGATTTGAACTCATAACATCTGAATTTATAACTTGTATCTTTTATCACTTGATCCATCTTAGAGTTGAGATGGGTGTCTAAATTTGAGTTTCTCATTGAGGCCACAAAAATAGTAATTGCGTGGTACATATGAGATCAGGCAATTTCATTCATTGAGAATAAATAGTCGGATATTCTGAGAGGTTCAAAAAACTCCTTAGTAGCCAAAAAAATAAAAAATAAAAAAAAAGTGTGTAGGACATAGTATAAGACAAAATGTTGTGGCCGGCTCTTAGGCAGATTTCAAACTTTCGCTAAATGCTTGTAGCATCATGCCAATGAGCAAGTCATTTTCTGTGGCATTAGTAAATTTCAGGTTGGGTCTGTGGGCCACTCGAATTCTCAACCTAAAGCCCTGCATGTAAGCCTGTCAATAGATTCGAATTCGATTTCATAAATTTAATTTGAATTTGACAAATTTTATTGTCACGGCGCATATTCGATTCTGTTAATAATTTGAAATTTGATCCGATTTAAATAACTTAAATAACTAAATTTTAACAAATTATACCTATATTTTAACTATTTTTTTTCAAATAATCACTTTAATATTTATGTAAAAATATATAAATAATTCGGATAAAAATATGTATATCTAAATCCGAATTCCTGAAATATAAGAAGTTGAATTTGAATTATCGGTAAAAATATTCATTCATATCCAACTACTCGGATTCAAATTCGGATGAAAATCCGATCTAATCACAGGCCTACCCACGACATTAGTTGGTTTCCCAATTCGTTTCCTCATTAGTGTAAGATGGTTATCATTGACATGTTATGTTAACATGGTACGACTTTGATATAAAATTAGTAAATTAAGCTTGATTAATCAAGAACACAGTATTTTCATTCCCACTTTACAAACAATGGACTACTTTTATAATTTTATAGTAGTTAGGTTTCAATCTCGACAATTTCTTGCAATTTGGTTACGAGAGATTTATTCTCATGAATACACTAGTTTTGGTGTAGATGATCTGTTTTTGATTGAACTGGAGAGAAAATTAGTTAAAAGTACATGTAAACTAATGCAAACACCTCTAATCGTTCAACAAAAATAATTTTTTTTTTTACAGTGGGAAGAGATTCGTTGTCTGCCCTTTCCATTCCCATTTTCATGGTCACTTTCATTGCCTGTTGATTATTGCTAATATCATTTTGAATGAAAATTTAAATCCTTACTAAAATTTGAGTAAAAAAATTTATTTGGTATAATACTATTTAAAGAAGAGAAATCCAAATTTAAATGAGGATAAACTCAAATTTTAAAAAATGTAAAATATAATTATTGAATTTTTAGAAAAAATAACACGACGCCAGGATGATAAAAAGTTTAATACCTCTCATTCTTATTACTTTTTCAATATGAACCTCACTAAAAAAAAAAATTAAAAAATCAATAGGCCGTCTTATTCAATACCTCAATTATGACATCCCTTCTCTCTCACTTCACACATCGGAATACATCGTTCTTATAGAGAAAAACGCGCTTTCACATTTTCATACCCCAAAATGGTTGGGGGGAGAAGATGTTTTTTTTTAGGGTACTCCCAGGAACAAATCTAATGGAGCCGGGGAGGGGCGTGCAGTTCAAAGAATTAAAGTACGTGACCACAAACCACGGTGTCGGGGGTTCGAATTCCTCCTTGCCCTTCATTTGATATGAATATGGGTTTACTATTGGAGAAAATTTTTAGGATTTTTTTTTTATCCAAATTTAAATTTGAGTTAAAAAAATTTTTTGGAGATTTTCTAATGTCACTGTTTCATGGGTACTTGAATTGGCATCATGGGTCAATACAAGGCCCAAATCAAGTCTCTAGAGTGTTGGTACAAGGTGGGATTTGGACAGTCACTTGCAACCTCTAGATCTACCCCTATTCGGTTTCATGCCGCCCATATCTTTATAACTCGGGCCTTGGAGGTGAAAGCCTGCAGGCATTCCCGGAGCCTAATAAATCCAACTTCTAAAGTAGGCCTATTGGATTATTTTGCATAATTAAACCCTCCCAAATCCTAGTGGGACAACAATTTTGTGTTTGTGTCGACCAAAAATTAATTAATTTAATATATTTAATTAATGGTTTTGTGTTGATTTGATTTATTTTTTTTTATATTGTGTTTATATTGACCCATATAATTCATAAATAACAAATTTAATATTAAATTTTAAGTTTAAGATTTTATTATCTTTTAATCAAAATCATATTCATTGTTTTTTCTATAAACTAAAAATATAATTAATAATAATAATAATAAAAATAAATAAAAACATCTATTTTTTTTATAAAGATTAAGTCAATACTTGATAAATAAATGACAAAAATTATTATTTTATTTATATAATATTAATTAAACATATCAATTTTGTGTTATTTGTATTTGATATTAACTCAAAATATTTATTATTCATGTTATTTTTGGGTATGTGTGAGAAAATAGTTAGTAATTTCGTCATAATTTCGATTCGTCTGAAAAATTACCACCTTTACAAGATCCGAATTCGAACCGAACTCCTCCAAACTAAGCAGCCCCGTTCTGATTTGGTGTCACATAAGAAATTAGGCTGTAGAGAAAAATCTCTGCACTGTCGTTTTACTAGAACTCCCTCTCATCCTCTCCCCCAAACCCCTGATCGTTCCATACCTCGCAAGGACCATTGGCGTCCCTCTCTCCATCTCTCTTTTTTCTCTCCCCCACACACATACAATGCAAGTGGCCTCAAAGGCTCGCCGAGGGGCTAGGGTTTTGGGATCTACTACTCCGACTCTATTCATCTCAAAGCGAGTGCAATTTTCTAATGTTGAAGTTATCGAAGCTTCATACAGGTCTTCTCTATGGCGTAGTTATCACGGTAATCTTTGCTCCTTTGGTTCTCGTCTACTTTTTAACGGCTCACTTCACTGTTTGGTTGCTAAGAAACCTCAGGAAAATGGAAGAAACGAAACAGAGAAAAATTTGAACTTCCTTTGCTTTATGCCAAGAAGAATGAATAATTTAGGTCAATTCCTCGAGGAAAAAATAGAGTCTCAGCTGATTGGAGTTTTTGTCCTTCAAGTTAACGAAAAAAAGTTACATTAGGTTCAGCTGAGTGGAGGCGTCTTATTTCCTTGTTATTTTGTTTTCCTCAACTTTCTCAGCATCCAAACATTGGATAATTACATATTTCAGTGAATGATTTTCTGATAAGAAGCTTGTAAAGTAGCAGGAACTATTCACGGAAATCACATGCCATTCGCATTGAAAAATTGGAAAAAAACATTGCAATATCCAATGTGGTCGATGATGATAATGCCAAGGATCTCGTTTTCTTCAGGAGTGAATACAAATGAAAGCACACCTACAGGTCTCGCGTCCTTATTTTCGTCTGATTATAATTTGTTTTGTAACGCATATTGGGGTGATGTTGATGTTTTGTAGTTTGGAATGCAGAGGCTGTAAAGGAAGTGTATGATAAAATACTTAAGTCTGTAGTAGAGCAAAGGACTGCGCCTCCGAATGCTTTGTTGTGGTCACTCATTGAAAAATGTTCTAACCATGAGGACATTAAACATCTCTTCCAAATTTTGCAGAGACTCCGAATTTTTGTTAGTTACTAATCTAGTTTCTTTATGTTTATACTCCCCTTTTCGTTCACATTTTTTTCCGTAAAGAGTGAAAGATTATTTACTTCTGGAGTGAAAGATTATTTACTTCTGGTAGTTGGGTGTTGGCTGTAGAGATTGTCGAATCTTCGCATTCATGATGATTTTAACTGCGCTCTTTGCCGAGAAATTACCAAGGCATGTGTACGTGTATCGGCTATTGACTTTGGTATGATTTTCAAAGTTGTTTGAAATTCAAGTTGTTTCTATTGTCCACATTCATTTTGATGAGTGATGATTAGTCATTTGTTTTTACTATGGAGCAAAAAGTTTGGATGGAAATTAGCTACTTTTAATGTGCATGCAGGTAAAAAGGCATTGTGGAAGCATAATGTGTATGGCTTGAGTCCTACTATTGGATCTGCCCACCATTTACTGGTATATATAAGTTGGCTATTCTACGACATTGTCTGCTATCTGTTTTTTTTGCTGTCGCTTATGTTTATTGTGTGGCGTCATGTGACTGCAGATGTATGCTAAACAGAAAAATGATTCTAAACTCATGGTTGAAATAATGAAACTTCTGAAGAAGAATGACCTACCCTTGCAGCCTGGTACAGCAGATATTGTTTTCAGGTATTTCATATGATACATACTTTGTGTTTTTGTTAACCTTTTTTTTTTTTTTTTAAGAAAAGATACATTTTATTCAGAAAATTACAAGAATCAAAGAATGGGAAAACCCTACAAAAAAATTGCTTTTACATCCTGTGTATTTGGCTTTAATCCTTCAAAATAACCTCCTGTGATTAGCACTCCCCCTGAGAATATTCAAACCTCCCTGCTCCTGCTCCATACACGCATCCACTAACCATGATCATCATAAACCAGAACAGTTCTGGTTGGCAATACAGGCAAAAACCTCTGATCCTGCCTCACCTTAAATTACACATCTAGAGGTAAGTGGTTCAGTCTAGAAAAATCTGAAGAAAAGCCACCCTCCACAGCCTTATTGGCCAATTGTGTTTTTGTTAACTGCTTCAAACTGTATGGCTAAAATCTTATTAGTTTATTGTTTTGTCAAGTAATGCTGTTCTATTTTTTCTCAACCTAGATTGTCACGAACCTACCTTGAGTTCCAACTTGGAAATCCGAAGCTTAACGTATAATACAGGAACCAGTTCTATAAAGTGGCAAAGGACAAGGTGTCACGTGTTACAAAACCACATTTATAGTGACAAGTGTGGTGCACTTCTCTAAAGTCAGGCACATGTTTCTATATGTCTGCATGTGACTACATGTCTACTTGTATACATTCTTTTATTTATGGCAGTGATAGATATCACATTGGAAACAAAAGGATCATGCACCTCAATTTAACTGGAGTAGTACTCTCCTTGCTAAAATCTGATATACTTGCATGTTACATAGTCTTTCTCCTCGGTTTTGAGGAATCATCGTTAGCTTCTATACTCCTTTGGTGGTTGTACCAACGAATGAGGTTTATATTCTTTTGGGGTGGATCCTCTGGGGAAACTTGGCAATATGGATTTTGCTGTTGATTTTGAGTTGCTGGTTATAGTTTATCTTTTTGACGAATGGGTTGTGGAGCCTGCTACTTCCATTAGGAGTTCATACGGTGAAATTTTGATATGTTGCAGTGACCACTCCTATTAGGAGTTTATATCCTTATTTAAATTTCCATATTTCTTAAACAAGTCTATGTCGGGTGGGGTGCTTGTATATGCAATCTCTCACATGTGTGTATGTATGTGTTTTGGCTGTTGGGATGTTAATAGGTTGGATTCAAATCAAAGCTTGACATCAATTCTTTTAAGTTTTGTTATGGTAAAATTCTATCTTATTGCTTTAGCGAAGTTCTACACATGATTAATTTTTGGTATTCAATCTTTTTATTGCAGAATTTGTTACAACACGGATAACTGGGAGTTGATGTCTAAATATTCAAAGAGGTTCGTCAAAGCAGGAATTCAATTAAGGCAAACTTCCTTTGACACGTGGATGGAATTTGCTTCCAAAATAGGTGTTTGCAAGTGATATTTTTCTCTCTATTTATTTGCCAGTGGTTTGAATTCCCCATTTATTGCGTCCCATATGCTTCTCACTAGTGGCGTAGTCATTGGTGGGGGTGATGGGATTATGTTACTTGAAGTTACCATTATACCGTGGAAAGAGATCTCAATGTGTGAAATTTGTTTCTTAACAAAAAAAGGGGTATGTCAATGAGTTGCTGCAATGTTTCCAAGGTTGCTGCTTCATATGCTTTAAACTTAATTTTTTACCACTATAAATTTGTCCATCATACAGGAGATATTGATTCTTTATGGAAAATTGAGGAGCTGAGAGCAGAATCCATGAAGCAGCACACTCTTGCAACTGGCTTTTCATGTGCTAAGGTACTACATCTTATGGAATCCATTTAGAGATGAAACTGACTTTCAAAAAGCTTATATAAGGTGTGATTTCTTTGGATATGATTTTAGGACCCTAAATTTTTCTTCATCTGATATGATGGGATTCACTGATGCAATCATCATCAGGGGAAAATGTATTCAGATCACCATCTACCCATGAAACAATAGTGCTTTGGTTTTTAAGCAATGATCTCCAGGGGAGCTAGTGAAGGAATAGATTAATATCTCACACCTCAATGAAATGTACAAATATTATTTCTCACTACCTTTTAAACTCCATAAGTCCATTGAATCTCTATAGTTTCATTTTTGAGTACATGTTAAAGAAGATTTCATTTATCTCTAAAGCATGAGAGATTGCACATACACAACACTGGTAATAAAGGAAGAGAATTGTAAAGTTGGTGCAGGAAGAGAATTTTTTAAGTATTCAAGGCTGTGGCTTATGTTGAGTTCTCCAATTGTCCAACTGTTTTTTTTTTTTTTTTGGGGGGGGGGGCTATCCATGGGTTTGTCATATGTAGCCTTTGATAACCTGAAGAGAGCACGATTGCATGTTTAGCATATTCAATCCCAATATATGTTGCTTTGAGAGATGATAAGAGTGATTGAGAGCATGCTTGTACTTATGGGTGTGCATGTATGATAGCATGATTGCATGTAGTTAAGTTTTTGCTTTGGATACTCTTTGTAGGGTTTTCTACTTGAACATAAACCAGAGAATGCTGCTGCAATCATTCAGGTCCTCAATCAGGTAATTGTTTTCCTATTGGGTGCATGGTATATATAATGAGATGAATCATCAGGATGAATCCAACCACTCTCATTAATGCTCATCCTCACTAATCATCTGTTTCGGTATGAGGGAAGAAAACCTGCAAAGAAGGGAAGGGAAGGATGCAAAAGGCATCATCAGGGTATGGAAGTGGTCCTTCCCTCCCTTTATTTGGTGGGCCATGAAGGAAAACAAGAAAGGAAAAGGATATTACTTACGTTACTACTACATAGAGACAGGATTTGACCCTGGACAAGACACAAAATAACAGTTTTCTCCGAAAGAGGGGAGCGAAAAAATCCTTGAGAAACCCCCCAAAAAATCTCAAACACTCTCAATTTAGTTCACTATTTTATTCAATAATCGAGTTTTTCTATCACATGACATGTAAGATCTATTTACAGGCATACCTGAACATCCTAATTAGCATTTACTGAAAACAGAACATAAGATTTTTTTTAATAATCCTAATGTAATAAATAAACTCAATATATCCTAATAATAGAATTAGACTAAAATAAATTCCTTTGCCCTAATCTTTAAATTTCAAGTTTCATCCCAAAATGCTTTTAGCTTCCCATCATGATGTAGCTTGAAAGGGGAAAAGCCCTAAAAAAAATCTTCCTTCATTTCCACTCCGCCCGCCTTAAGGCAGAGAACATTCAGTGGGTCTAGAGAGGAACTGCTTTGCATCTCTCTTCCTTCTTCCTTTCCTTCCTACACACATAGGAGATCACCCCTTCCTTCTTCTAAACCACTTCTGTCTTCCTTTCCTTTCTCTCCTTGTCCACTTCTTATCTCCAAGTAATCAGACCATAAACTTCCTAGTGGAAGTAGTTAAGCAAATATATTCTAATTCCCTGCTTAAATTGAGAAGCAAAGATGAGATTCTATATTTGAGTCTTTTTTCATGTGGTAGATGTGCTCATCTCACCTAGTTATTTTGTTGGAAGAAAAGAAAGGAATGATCAACCCCCTCCATTTATGAGTTCAGGTAGAACTTATATCTATGGGCTGGGAGTCATATGGATTCCATTTTGATTTTAGTTTTCTAAAGTATTATGATTGTATTTATCACGTTGGAAGTTTAGAAAAGATACTCGATGGAGAATTTCTTGTCCTTCTAGACTCTTTGTTATTGTTCTTTCTGTTAAGACCATTGTGATATGATGTTTATTTGTGCATGCCAGACTTTATCTGATGCAAAGAGGCAGGGTATTATAGTTGAACTTCAAAAGCTGGTCAGCGAGTGGCCTTTGGAGGTTATAAAACATCAAAAAGATGAGGACAGAAAGGTAAGCTATTGCAATTCATTGTTTAGCAATTTATGCCAAATGGGGGAATCTTAGTTGATTTCAATCTTTAAGCCATAAAGATCTGCAAAAAGAGCTGTTTATTTGATCAGGATATGGTGATGTCTACTTGGCTAGTGCTAATAATATTAATGCCAATTTTGTTAATCTTAGTAATTCTTATGGAACTTTTACGTCCTGCTACTTAAGTTCAAGCTTCAAATACTGCCTTGTAATTTTTATGCATTGACCCTTTGGGAAAGTACATTGTTTCCCTTGCTTGCTAGGCTGTACAGGTGTAATACCCGAGGATTGATTACTATGAACTGGCAGTGCCTCTTGCTTGTATTGGAATATGAATGATTCTTACTTTCTATTTCATATAATTGCTACCAGGTGCTGTTTCCTGGGTTCATATATCTTTAAAATTCGTTAACCGGCATATCAAAGCCTTTGTAATTTGCTAATATCTCAACCTGCCTTCCCTTTTGCTATGTGCTCCTCTTCGTTGATGTTCAAACTCACCCACCAACTGCGTTTATCCAAGAACCTAGGAATTTCATCCGATGTAAATTGCATTCATAATCCTCTGTGGTCTATGGATGGACAATTGAGTAATTCACTGGATTGTATGTTTACTGATGTTTAGTCGTCGTTTGGTTGAAACTGGAAATGGCAGTGTTTGGTTTGCAATTGTTTTTGTTTCCCCTATTCTTATGAGGAAACTAACTTGGTCCCCCCTGCATGAAGCAGCAAATTCTCTGACTTCTAACATTTTTTTGCCCGTTGTGGTATATTGTGACTATTGACTACAATAGAATGAGCAAGCACTTTTCCTTAGCATTACAGCTTTAGAAATTCCTTTTAGAGAGAAATAATGATGGAAAATGCTGCTGCTCATTCGAATGTCTTCATTTCGTGTTGTACTGTCCAGGCATTGGCTGCTGCATTACAAAATGACATCCCGGCTATGGTTAGTAGTCTATTGAGCATGGGCCTAGAGGTGAATGTGAATATGGAAGACTTCACGAGAGAAGGCGTTTTGTGTTGAGAAGTATTGTGGTCACCGGATATTTACCTCGACAACCTGAAGGTCTGTCTATTTGCACTTTGCTCTGCAAGAGAAAAGCTACTGTGTTGCAGCCACCATTTCTCTATACCGAGGGTTGAACACTACTGTTTTCGGAAGGTTGAAGTTTTCATGTACTGTTGATTCATACATTTGTATGGAGCTCGTGCCTTCTCTAGTGAGTAGTGATAAGACTGTCAACGAAAATTTTGATGGCTAAAAATTGAATGTTGGTTTAAAAAATTCAATCGATTCGGAGTATAGACAATTTATTTTAATTATGTACATCCGAATCTACTACAATTTGACACTTGTCCTGATATAGTCGAATCCAAAGATGTTTGGACATGAATTTATTTTGTTGAGTTGAGTCGAGTCTTATCACTAGAAAAAGAGAAGCTGCGGCAAACTCCAAGTTGTAGTGAAGGATTTCGTGCACCAGCATTCCAATTGCTGCCGGTCATATTGAATCCGCCCGCTTCTATGCTGTGGGTCAACCCGGTGACCCCACGTCTAGACTGAATTGGATAACATTTAAATCATTTTTATTACTTATGAAAACCTACCAAGATGAACATGACCCGGGTAGTTGAATTAGCAACCCATTGACCCGGTAACCTATTGGCCTTGTGGGGAAGATTGAAATTACAGATCTCACGTTTATTATCTGTTATTTATATCTCATCTTTTATGTTTTCATGCGATTCATTTAACTTAAAAAAATATGATTTAGGGTGAATTATATTTTGCACCTTCAAATATTCAAATTTTTTTTATTTTGTATCCTTAAAAATTAGATTTCTCATATTATGCAATCAATGTATTAAAAGTATTGTAATATAGCATTCTGTTAGTTTTTATTACTCATTTTGTTCCGTCAACGTCAATGGGATGAATTTTGATGGAATAAGTAACAAAAAAAAAATGGAAGAGTCGTATTAAAACACTTTTAATATATTGAAGGTACAATGTGAGAAATCTCATATTTGAAGGCATAAAATAAAAAAACTTAAATTTTTTAAGGTGCAAAGTGAGATTTTTCCTATGATTTAAAGTACACCTATTATTATTTGAAATTATTTTTGGATGTGCAACAGTTTATAACTATTACAATGAAATTTGAGAAGAGAATGAGCATAACCTCTAGAGGGAGGAACAAAAAAATTATAATACAACTTTTAAAAAGAGGAAAATATTTTATATAATTATTTTTTATCCCCACTATTTAGAGTAATTTACTTTCAAGCAATTCATAGGATTCAACAAGCAAATGATAGTTCGATCGAGGGTATAATATTCTTTGTATTAGCCGTCCTTATATATTGTATTATAATTGAAATATGGTTGAGAGAAAAAATCTCTCAACTTTGAAATTCAGAGGTCCAAAATTAAATAATCAAAACTCTTAAAAGTAATTGACCATTTCAAACTCTTATAACAATCTACCTTATATCAACATTAATCAATTGTCTATAAGCTCAGAATTTCTCTCTTGATCTTCTCTATACTTTCGTACCCATTACCACCAAGCAACGCCGTTACCGTCAAAATCAACTGTCGCCGGTCATCTACCGAGACATTTGCCGCCAAAACATCAGCCATATGCTTCTCAAAAACCCTGAAAATTTCGACCACCAAACTCCGTTGAAAGGCTAGTTGAATCCCAAAAAAGGCGGCGCCACCGGAGAAGCTCACGTTGACGGAAGAGTTACGGTCGGTGAAATGAGATAATACCGGTTTCGCCACCGGCGATTTCATTGGTAACGCCTTCTGTACTCCCTCCAACCTCTCTTTCTCTTCCTCAAGTCTTTTAATGTACTCAATTGTATCACTTACAATTCTCTCTCGTGTAGCCTACAATTCAATGCGAGAGAGAGAGAGAGAGAGAGAGAGAGAGAGAGAGAGAGAGAGAATGTGTGTGTCAAAATAACAGAACCCATTGATTGATTGATATGTGTGTGTATCAGAAATAACAGAAACCCAAAGAATTGTATTACCTTAGGGAAGATCATAAGACTAGGTACCATGGATTGAAGAACAGAGTATTTCTCGGTCATTTTCTCTCTCCGGTCACGTTCCTTGTGTAGGCTTTCTGGGTTCTTAGCCTGGGCTCTTTTGCTTCTCTTTCTCGAGCTTGAACCCTCCTCGTTCATAGCGGTTCCAGGAAAAGGTGAGAATTCCGACAATGGGGGAATTACAGAATCCTTATAACCATCCATGATGCCCAGAAAGAGATGGTTTATCTCCTTCTCTTCCTCTTCTCCTTCTTCTTGTTTCACTTCTATTTCTCTCTCCTTGCCTCTATTCCACATAGCAAATCGTTCTCAAATATACGGAGACAGAGCATATGAGGAGAGAGACAGAGACTTGGGTTGTTGGAGAATGGTGGAGAGAGATGATTTCGTTTGTTGATTCAGAAGCTGTTAGAATATTTGCTGCAGAGAGAGAGAGAGAGAGAGAGAGAATTGGCTGAAGGGCCGATGAAGTCATGTGCAAGTCCTCCAGTGAATTATAAGCTTTTGATTTTGTGCTCTATCTCCCAATGGAATTGTTGATTTTGTACATCATTTTTGTGCCTTTTAATGCTTTTGCTGAATCCCTACCATTGGATTGTTTGAGAGGTTAATCACAATTAGACTTGTGAATTTATGTGATTTTGATTTGAGTTCGATTTAATCCAATTCAAGTTATGTATATATTTTTATATAAATGTTAAAAAAATAAGTGATTATTTAAGAAAATTTAGTGTAAATTTACGTGTAATTTGTTAAATTTTAGTTAAATTAAGTTATTAATTTAGATCAGATCAGATCAAATTTCGTATTATTAACAGATTTAGATAAAAACTATAAAAATAAAACTCATCATATAATCTAATTCAGATAAGACTTTCAAATCGAATTGGGATTCAAATTAATCTAAATTCGATCGTTGATAGGCCTAATCACAATACCCATTTGAGGGTCTTGATAATTGAAATTGATAATCACAATTTTGTGAGATGCCATTTTTTTTTTTAATTTTGATCAAATTTAATCGAACCCAAACAGGGTTCGAATGAGACTCATTGCTATTCAGTAGGATCCAATAAATTTAACGATAACTCATTAAACTCGAGCGAAATTGACATAAAATAGGAATTGAAATGATCAAAATCCTAGGATTTTTATACAAAAAAGAGCCATTGATTGATATAATGTAGATTTACACAAAACAAAGTTGTATGCGATGCATTGTACCTCATGAAAATTGGCTAAACAGAAGACCATGTGCAAGGGTAATAATAGTACTTGGGCTCTAAGAAAGTACTGACATTTGACACGTGTCACAATAATATTGGCTGATTCACTTGAAGACTGGACACTGTCCTTCTGATTTTCCTAAGCCAAAACTATAGGGTCCTGTTCGTTCAAGGGAGTATATGGCAGTGAGATTTTCTGGGCTACGCTCTTTTTGGACCCTCACATGGTAAAAAAAATAAAATAAAATAAAAATTGGGCATAGCCGTTACATTATATCAACAATATCAAGTAGTGTAATCGTTCATTAATAAGTAAATAAGTTTGAAAGTGAGTCCCACAAAACTTGATAACCATCCAACCACATAATACATAATCACATTTATAATAGAAAATATGTCCAATTATATCTATTTTGTAATTTTTTTATTAGACGGTTACATCCGATATTTACTGCAGATGGTGGTGTACTTTTTTAGCATTGGGTCCTCAAGGGTACATATTGGCAATTTTGGTGGGTATACCCTTGGTTGCAGGACAGGCACATGTCCAGCAGGTAGAGTGATATTAGCTAGGGGTAAGGTGTCGGTCGAGTCATATTGTGTCAATTTTTTGCTATCTTTTCGTGATTTTACTGAAAAATAACTTGACATTAACGAGAGAGGAAACACAACGTAACGAGATATAGTACATGATAAGCATAGAAACACAAACTTTGTTACATAACACCTAGATGTAATTTTCTTGATGATATCTAAGACAAACCCTAGGGAGAAATCATACACAAACACGCACATTTTTTACTTGGACTTCTTGTGAAGATTAAAAGCAGCCATCCCAACCAGCAAAAGAAACACCACAGAGGCAAGGAGAGAGAGGATAATAGCAGCACTGATTTGTTGGCAGAATTTACCGAACATATTGCACACCTTGTTCCATTGCACGTGTGAGTTCCCTTCGTACCCGAGGACACCGACGGCGGTGGCGGCTCCGTTGCCGGAAAAGAGCAATCCGATCATCACTAGGTCAAGGATGATGATCAGCATTGATAGACCTTTCTTCCCACTTCTATTTGCCAGGGTCAGGATTAGTGAGATTCCAGCATATGAGCTTGCTATGGCATTTGCCACCACAAAGTACCTATTGATAGGGGAGATTACAAAAATAGATTTTAGATTAAATTACACATATGACCTTCAAACTATGACTCTTATGCCAATTAAGTCTTTGAACATTTTTTTTTTGGTCAATTGAGCCATTGAACTCTCTAATTGTGTAAATTGAACTTTTATGTTTGCCTCTGTAAAAAACGGAAAGTAACTACGTGTATCACCCACATAACATAAATGGTTAAAGTAAGTTACTCCTGTGTCAATTATGCCCTTGAACCTTTTATTGTGTCAATTGAGTTTTTAAACTCTCTAATTGGGTTAATTGAGTTATTCTATCTTTTTGTGCCATATATTAACGTGAGTGACACACTCTAATGGAAGCAGACAAAAGGGTTCAATTGACACAATTAAAAAATTCAGAGGCTCCAGTAACACTAAAAAAAAAATATAAAAGCTTAATTAACAAAGTTCATAATTTTAGTACCATATGTACAATTACTCTGGATTTTTCTTTTCCGTAAGTCTCTAAGTGCAATTAAGAATAAGTATGTTACGGAAAGCTTTCAACATTCGCTGGCCCAGCCCATCACCTAAAGGCCTGTCGGTGGCCATTAGCCAAGCAGAGAAGGCCTGGGGCTGTGTTTTGATCCGAATCAAAGCCCACAAAGGAGAGCAATCAGGACCTTGCATTTTGTAAATTTCAAACGGGGTTTTTGGAAGCCGGTGCAATTAATTAGATTTATTTGACAAAAATTACATATTAAAAAATATTTTAGAAAAAGGCACACTAGTTAAATACAAAGACATAAATACCCATTTTAGGGAAAATGGTGCATTAAATATCTCCTAATTTTGTGAGAGAATTTTAATATTTAATGCATATTGAAGCATGTGTATTTGTTAATATACATATATATACACACATATATATTTATATTTATACTTGTGTGTATATATATATATTTATATTTTATGTATCTAAATACAATATATGTATATATATTTATATTTATATGTGTATGTATTTATATACGTATATTGTATTTATATACATATACACAAATATATATATACACGTGTAAAGTATAACATTGAAAGTAGAAAATATTATCTTATATCTCACATTTCTTAATGGAAAGTGTAAAGTGTTATAGGGTAATATTGAAAATAACAATAACAGTATAGCAATAACAATGTAACAAGCTATTTACACAAGGTAAAGGGAGACATTACCTAAAGTGTTACATAAACAGAATATACATATCTCATCTTACACTAAAAAAATTAATTAATTGAAAAAGTGTGAAAGCGTTACACTTTCAATTTTAACATGTAACATTTTACACTTTCCATAAAACTAGGAGATATTTAATGTACCACTTTCTAAAGAACATACATACATATGGATCAACGAAAGACAAAAATATCACAAAATAATTAGGCAAATTGAAATTGTGTACTTAAATATAAATAAATATCAAAATTAAGAACTTAATACATCTATATTTTTTAGTATATATTTTTTGCTAAATAAGTTTAATTTGACATACCTTTAAAAGTTACCCATTTCAAAATGTATTTTGTGAAAAACCATTTCGATGGACAAGGTATGGGTCATCTTTTTTTTTTTTTTTTGGGTTCAAAATGGCCCTACCTGCGGTCTAACAAGATTGTTGACTGGTCAACTGATCCGATGATCCAGCCCATTAAAAACGGCACAAACTTCCAATTTTTTTTTACCCATGTCCATGTGCAGCTCAGCAGGTCAAATTTCCAAATTTGGGCACTTTAATAAGAGACAAAAACTAATAAAAGCTATGTCCTCTTACCACGATATGGGGCAGATATTTGGGTCAGCAATGGACCAAATTTCCGGTCTCCGAGACAAGAAAAAATAATAAACAAAAACATTTAAAAGTTTTTTGGGTTATTAGCCCCTGATTGCTTTGTGTCTCCCAAATAGTATTCAAAAATTATTTTTAAAAAGAAACTTAGAAAAATGTGTTTTTGTATTTTTTGTTTTGCATAATTTGTTTAATTATATGGTTCTAAAAGCAGTTTTACGAAATAAAAAATAGTAAAATTATTTTGGATAGTAACCCAAAAAATAATAAAAACAAAAACGTGGTGGTGATAGTGATACTGGTGGTGGTGGAATGTGGTGGTATTTTCTAAATTCCGAAAAAATTGTTTCTAAAAACACACAAATCAGTCTTAACTTAGTTCTCTAAATCTACATACTTTTTGTTCTCAAATATTAAAAAAAAAAAAGAAAAAATAGCTGGCCAACTAAATTTTATCCTAAAAACTATTTTCGAAAACAGAAAAATAATTTTTGAGATACAAATCAAACGGGGCATAAATTTTACCATGCAATTGTGATGGAAAAACATATACAATGGCTAAAATATTTACTGTAATTAAAAAAATATAGTCATAATATTTATTGTAGTTGCTAAGTTTATCCAGCTGGTTAAAATCTTAAAAATATAATTTATTATAATTAAAAGATTAAAATATAAATAGAATAAATCGTTGGGTTTAAACCACCTAGGCTGTTATTTGAGCATTTTCCTTGAGTTTGTGGGGGTATAGTTTTCACAGCTTTCAGTCTTACATTCATGCTATGACTCTCTTGCTCATTCACTTCTTATTACAGGACAATAGCTTTGTTTTGTTAACTAAAGATGGATCATTTATATAACTACATAGATATCACTACTATAGTGAATTATAAAAAACAATTATGGGACCCTAAACTCTTAATATATTTTTTTGTATTGTGGTCAGAGGGTATTCGGATCAACTAATGCACATTTCAACTAATCATCTTCTCAGTTCCGTCACAGATAGACCTTACACACAAAGACTAAAGAATTTATTAGGCATAAATCGTTATGGCGTAATCCATAGAGTTGGCCTAACTTCCGAGCAATAAGAATGATCAAGTATAGTAGACCTAGTTGTTTAATTAACTATGACACAATAGCTTTAACTTACAATTTTGAGTCATATAAAATGGTCTAGTTAGGTCGATGTGTATAATTTATGAATGATTATATACATCTAGAATGTGTATTCTAAATTATAAATCCAACAAGAAATTATAGGGAATGAGAGGTACACTTCCAATTAAAAGAAATGTGAAATAATATTATTGTGACTTAAAAAACTGACCAATAGCATTGCTCGTGTTTGTGTTTTATATAATTTAACTTTGTCCTAAAATAAATGCATGTAATATTGTCGAGATTTGAATAAATTAATCCGAATATCACATATTATTGAACAAAAAAAAATTTGCATGCAATACATCCGAGAAGACAAGAGCTTGTGTGTGTGTGTGTGTGTGTGTGAGAGAGAGAGAGAGAGAGAGAGAGAGAGAGAGAGAGAGAGAGAGAGAGACTCACACAAAGGCGGACATGTGATGCCACTTAGCAGTCACTGAAACATTCACCGTAGGCAGGGAAGGGCCAAACGTCACCGGAGCTTATGTGTGTGTGTGTGTGTGTGAGAGAGAGAGAGAGAGAGAGAGAGAGAGGAGACTCACACAAAGGCGGACATGTAATGCCACTTAGCAGTCGCCGCAACATTCACCGTAGGCAGGGAAGGGCCAAGCGTCACCGGAACAACCTTTGTCTGTTTATCAACCCCAACAACCACCGCCGCCACCAGAGTAAGCACCAAGGCCAAAACCCTCAAAACCTTCTCCGACCACCGCACTGCTCTCCTGTTCGCCACCCCCACTTCTTTTTCTCTGCCGTTCCTTCCTTCCACACCACCAATACTTGCCTTATTCTGAGCCTCCATAACCACAAAAACCCCCAAGAAATTTTCACTTCTTTTTTCTGGGTAAGTATGAAAATTTCACTGCAAGTGACACAGAAGAGAACGAGGAGTTATGGGAACATGAGGAGTTATGGGAGCTTTATATAGAGAAATAGAGAGATGGTTTTGGTGTGGAGGAGAAGAGTTTTTTTGTCCTTGGTAGGAGAGAGAAAGGAATGGGACACCATTATTTTGTATTGACATTAATGGCAAAGAGCTGTGTATACGTGTGTGTAATAAAATGTGGGGAAGAAAACGTGCTATAGGATGTATGCTTTGGTTCACATTTAGTGTGGAAGGTTGGGGCGTTCACCTTATTTTAATCCTTTTCTGGTAACTGATTTGGGCCAGCTGACCCTATCAATTGTTCACACCAACCCCTTTTTTTTTAATAATTTTTTAAGGGACCTGAATTTTTTTTTTTTTTTTTAACAGCCAGGGGTCTTCGGACTAATTTATATACATTTCGATTAATTCTTTTATAGGTCCAATCAAAGTCAGGTCATCTATTTCAAAACTAAGATATTCATGAGAGATAAATATGTCATAATGTAGTTTCAAAAGATTACTTAGATTCGAAGTCAAGATGTCTAAATTTATAGGTCGTCCAAAAGGCCCGAATTTTCAAACTCACCCATCCATAATATATTCAACGGGCAACCCATTGATCGCATTAGCATTCTAATGAGAGGAATGAGACTCAAATCTAAGAGTTTACGTTCGGTATTGACTTTTCACCTTCTTATTGGTTAGACTGCTTGATTACAATGATATTGTGTATACTAAGTTGATTGAAATTGAAAAAGTGTATTATTACTTTGGAGTTTGAATAATACTATACTATATGTTGATAGAAAATTTTCAGATCATTGTGGATGTTTAATTTGTTTTAAGTTTCATAAAATAAAATAAACTAAACCAGCATTTATATTGTTTTTTTCTCATCTTGATAAGAGAGGAATCCTAAAGAGTTGTCATCTAACAATTTTGTATATGTTGATATATTGGTAAGTACATTCGTGATGTCTCTAGCATCTGTATCAATGAATCCTGTTATCCTGGAAAGTATAATCCCCAGCCAACCAGCAGCAATGGTAAGTATGGCAAGCTCTAACTACTGATGAAAGTAGTTTTAGCAAGTCTGATTTTGAAAAGCATCAAAAAGCATAAATTACCATTGTGTTTTTTTTCCCCACCATAAGCATACTTTATGTAAGGATCTGAATCCTCTTAACTTAGAAAATTGCAAATTTTGGGTTGTTTTCGATTTTAAGTTGAACTCATTTGGTACTGAAGTAGATCGAAATTGACAAAATTTGAAAATTGAGACGAATCAGATCTCTTTGTGTACATTGATGCTGGCAGATTCATTTCTGGTAATTTCTCCAAGCAAATGGATGTAGAATCTGTGGGAGCCACCCAGTTTTGCTTCTTTGATTGAGAACCATCCCAGTTTTGTATGTGATATATAAGTTGCCATGTTGGAGAGAGATTGACATTTGATTTTTTTTTTCCCAAAGAAAATAGAGATTTTTTTTTTGATCCAACACTACTACAGAGAAGGAGACAACGATCTTTAAACTCGTGATGAGTCTAACAGCGGGAGAGATGACCAATAAATCAACTGTGCACCTTAAAAAAAATAGACAAAGAAGGAGATGACGATGTTTAAACTTGTGATCAGTCTAGGGAGAGGTTGCCAATAAACCAACCGTTGACACCAAAAAAAATAGAGATTGGCAATTGGTTATTTCAGTCTTAATGGCAGATGATGAGAATCTGTATTCAATCATTATCGGTAGCATTCAGGAAAACTACACAAACCGTGATTCGCTGTTGCCTTTGTGAAGGCGATAAGGTGGTAGTAGTAGTAGTACAGAGTGACACGATTGTGCTAAAACTATATGTTATAACTTCCGTTGAAAGAGAGAGATCCGAAGCTTCTTGGTAGATATGATGTAACACAGATAAGGCTGAGAGAGCATTCTGTCGTGTAGTATTGTGTTTAAGTTGTGTTGTGTTAAATTTTTAAGGGTGTCCAGTAATTAAGTCTGTCTTCTTGTAAATAAGAGGTATCAAATTCGATATTTCGCACACTTGTCAAGGACCAATCACCCTTATTCATCAAAAAACATGTTTTTAAACTAGTTCAAATTGTTGTAACCGACTTAGAGTTTGAGAGAATGGTCAACGCAAGTCTGGATATCTTGTTACAAAAAAAAAAACAGAATTAATGAGGGATGTTAGAAATTGTTAACCCTAATCTCTCTCTCTCTCTCTCTCTCTCTCTATATATATATATATATATTTTTTTTTTTTAATTTCTTGCACATCGTGTCTCTTTTAGGGCCACAGTCTCGGCCACACTTTCTGGACTGATGTTTGCTTTTGTATTTGCCCGAACCAACCTGCACATGCTATTCAAATTTGGCTGGCCATCACATAGACGTCTGGGCTATGTGCCTAGCATTCAAACAGCAGTGATTTGTGATTTCGGCATTATACTGACTTTCAAAGATGGCAAATCTATTCACATGGACCATTCCATACATTTTCTAAGTGGTGTCTTCTTTCCCTTAATTCTGATTTTGCTTTGGATTTTTAAGTTTTCCACTGACTTTGTCAATTGATTTTTGTTGGGAATAATGAATGGTTTATATTAATTATGCCTTACTAACTTTAATGTAGAGATAACGTTCATTGACTTATGTTTTTTGATAAAAATATGTTTTTTACCAAAAATCAATTGAAAAGTTCAGCGGTATTACTGTTGGGTTGTCGGGTCGAATAATAGGTTGGGGGATGCAGAGAATATCCTGCAATAGGGAATGCCCCACGGCGAGAAATGCTATGCAGCAGAAAATGGGTACATGTAGATTGCCTATAATTTTCAATGTACTTCCAAGTAGAGAAGTTTTACCATGATTGGATAAACTAAAAAATTTACCAGGAATTGATGTAGCAAACGTACTGGACTAGGTCTCCTAATTGGACCAAGATTAGAGTAATTAACTAATGCTTATAAATATGTTGTAATTCTTTGGATTACGATAAAGATTACATGAAGATGGAAGTAGGTAAAATTTTTATCGAACCACGTGACCTTGCATTCTTATTTAACTTGACATCAACCCTTTCTTTCCTTTGCAAAGGCTTCACTAATTTCAGCTGCACCAACAATTCTTGTGTGTTATGTGTTCCTTTTTCAAAAAAAGAAAGAAAGGAAGACTCCCTCCCTCTCTCTCTCTCACACACACACACACACAATTTTTGAGGAAGACAAAACTCGAAGTCAACGGTGACCTAATGACTCCACAGCCCGTCATTGGATTGATAAGTCACAGGTTCTGACTTCATTAGTCCTCTCCCTTGTAAACTTTGCAATAGTGACCAAAAAAAAATAAATTTGAAGACAAAATTCAATTCAACATAGTCTTATCACAAATATTTGAATTGTTATATGAATCCTGTCATCTATTGTTCTATCAAAAATCATATTTTCAGATAGGCAAGAAGCAATCATACAAGTGTTTACCAAACTTATCCCAATAAATATATTAAAACTATCCAATTCGATTCTAATTTATCTCTTATTAATGATATTTCAAACGTTCTACAAACATTTCAATTCTTAAACGAAAAACGAGAATAATCGAAGACACAAACTCGTCTTAAATTCTTTATATGGGCTAATTTTGACATAATTTCCCCCATTATCAATTTAATTTAAAGAAAAAAAAAAGACTTACTTCTACATATTTTCAGACCATCTCAGCTGCTTCAAGAAAAAACACACAAAGTTACCTAACACAAGTTTGAACATATCTTCAACTGACCTACCTACCTACCAAATTACTAAAGCAACCTCAATAGTTTCTAATGCCATAAAGTTTCCTCCAACTAAACATGGGGCCCATGGGCCATTTACATCCACCAAATTGGTAGCTTCACAATCAATGCTCATTATTTCCACAAAGCCTTAAATATATATGTAGTTTAATCTTTATGTCATATCACCGTCATGCTAGAAAATATTAAAGAAGCCTAGAAGTTGTTTGGAGTTGACTGAAATATGTTTGATTCTATAAATTTTGGAGTAAAATAGGTCAAATTCATTTGACTCTTGGCTTTTGGATCCGCTTATGTAGCGGTTTTTGAACCTAAAAATGTTTATTTAGGGGATTTAAGAACTTGATTTTATGGATTTTTTTGCCCTCTTTTTGTTGGTGTTTTTGTTGCGAGAACCATGTAGCTTTTTAGTTTATTATACTCATAAAATATTATTAGTGACGTAAAAAGAATTAAAATTCATATTTTAGAAACTATTATGCACAATCTATATAAACATGTAATTATTTTTTTTTATTTTGATACAAAAAACAAGAAAGTCACTGCAAACAGACTTTTTTAAATTTTTAAAAAACACTCCAGACGATTTTGGATTTTTTTTTAACTCTTACTTTTTTACGAAATTTTTTAAACCATAGTTTTTTACGTAAAAAATTAATTTCACATAGGCTCAATGTTGTGACAAAAAATTGTGCAGGATTGATGGTCTTTTCATTATCATTAAATAACGAGTCTTCTATGTAACACTGTAACTAACTCACGTAAAATAGTCGAGTTTAATTTATCTAATTAATTATTTTTAGATTGACTGCTTTATATGAACCTGAGGTTATAATTGGAGGTAGTGGTTGAGAATGCTACTCTAGTTGTAGCTCCCCTTATTTGATCAAATAAGACACCTACGAACCACTCAAGAGAATTTCTCTCTCCCTCTCCCTATATTTTAAAGCGAAGCGAAAATTGTTTCTCTCTTCGTGGCGATAATAATCGTAATATCATCATTTACTCCGATTTTGGAACATCCTATCAGAGTCCTTTTACTGCAGTTTGGTGGTGTCTTATTTCATGCTGTTGTTTATTCAATGCAAGTTAAAATCTTTCTAAATAAAAAATATCACTTGTCCTTCTACCTTATCAAGTTCTTTTTTCTGAAGGTTATTTTAACCTTATCCATAGTGTGCCCTTTTTTTTTTTTTTTTTTTCTGTCATATGGAAAAATTTCAAGGCCTATCTTCCATGAATAGAAACACACTTATATCACTTAGGCTCGTGATTTTGAGTAGAACTAAGGGCAAAGTTTAGATGTATGAATCGGTCCCTCAACTCATACACCATTTAAATCAGGACTTGTATTTTATTGGGTATTCAAGACCCACACCAGAAACTTAGGTACGGTTCGTTTAAACAATTGAGGTCTTGTCCTACCAAACAGTCATAACTGGGAAGCTAGAGGCTCTGACCAACTGAGCTACCCTAGTTGGTTAGTGTGCCATTAACCAGACCAGGGACATATAAATCTTATTTAGTTTACGTTTTAAATAATAATATTTAAAAATTATTTTTAGAAAGAATTTTAAAAAAACTATTTTGATATTTTTTTGTGTCACAAAATTTGTTTAGTTATATGATTCTAAAAATAGTTATACTTAATAAAAACAGTAAAATTTGTTTGAATAGTAACTCAAAAAATAATAAAAATAAAAATATAACGGTGGTGGTGAACGTGGTGCTACTAGTTGTGGTGAAAGTGTGATTGCTGTGGATGTTGTGGTGGTGGTGGTTTTAGTGATTTCTAAATTCTGAAATAGTTGTTTCTAAAAATGCTCAAAATATTTTTAACTTGTTCTCTAAATCTACTAACTTTTTGTTCTCAGTTTTTAAAAACACAAAAACGAAAAATAGTTAGTCAAACAGTTTTTTTTCCAGAAACTATTTCTAAAAACAAAAAAAAAAAACAGTTTATGAGATACAAATTAAACAAGGCTATAGATTTTGGAGATGTCTATGGTACTCAAAAAATAAAAAATATGTACAATATTGATATTTATTATTTTTGTAATTATTTTTATCATTGTCGTGAAACCGAAAAAAAAGTGATAAAAATAACTAACATAACAATGGTAAAAATATCCCAAAAAATGGTAAATCACCCTAGAAAGTAGTAATTGTTTGTTGAAAAAATGTCTACGGAAATTATAAAATATCTACAAAAATAATAAATTTTAGAAGTGAGATACCGAATGCAATCAAGTCCATAGATTTTATACACACACGCACACACAAAGGCACATACACTTGGATACAAATATATGATACACTGCATAAATCTCTCTATAGTAACACAAGGGTTACCCACACAGTTTTATTTACTGTAGTTAAAATTTAAATATGTGATTTTTATTTTTATTAAAAAAAATTAAAAGCTAAGTAGGTTTAAAATGCTTACCATGATTAAAAATTCAAATTTGAATTATAAAATAATTTCTCAGATTTAAACGGTATGAGTCATAGGCCTATGTTGGGTTAGAGTAGAAAGATGGCACAGTGGGCTTGGCCTAGATAACTGAGGTAGTGCAATTGGCCCATAGCTACAAGAACAATGGACCAAGTCCAACAACCCTAGCATTGTTTTTCCATGTATACACGTGTTGGACCTATTAACCGAAAAGTCTACTAAAAATCATAACTAAAAAACATATTGGGATAGAGCAGAAAGATGGTACAGTGGGCCTTGGCCTAGATTACTGAGGTCGGGATGGTGGCCCGTTTCTACAAGAACATTGGGCGAAGTCCATCAACCCAAGCACGATTAATAAATAAATAGGATAAGAGTAAAATCAAACAAAAAAAAAAAGCAAACGATACTACTTATTTATATACCAGTTATATACGATTCATATATGAAATGAATTCGATACGACACGATTTGTCAGATACGAATTAATAAACAAATTGAATTTCAATGAAATATTTTTTGATAATAACCCGTTAAAATTCGATATAAATCCACTCCACTCGAATGATTGATAGGCATAGTGACAGCACCCATACACCGTATATTTAGAACTCTCACTCCACTTCACCGGCGGGTTGCTTAGTGAACAATTGAAATCTTTAATTGAATTTGTGATCAAGTATTGAAAATCAGCATAAAATAAAATAAAGAAAACAATAAAATAATAATAAAAAATGGATTAAGAACTTGTCAAATCCCACATTCAAAGAAAGATTGATTGCATCTTCTATTCTTTATCTTCTTCTCCAAGCATATACTTTTCTACCCCGTCGTTCTCCCACTTTTCTTATGTACATTTATGCCTAATGAACCTACTTAATACGTCTACATTTAGTTATGAAAAGACAATGAGCCACATGAAACCCAAACAAAGACGCATGTAAACCAAGGGGGTATATACGTAACTTCCTATAGGAAGGTCACATGTTGTTTTCAACTAATGTGGATAAGCTCTTGATCTTTGCAATGACGTGTTTGTTGGTGACCAAATTTTCGTTGAATTTTTAGGAGTTTCGTCTCAACTTGTGCAATGATTGTCTTGAAGCTTCTTGGCCAAATAAGGGTTGCGATAAATCAAGTGAATAGTTTAACTCATAATAATTACGAGTCGTAAATTCAGGTATTTTGAATTTAAATCTTGACAATCTTTTAGAATTAGATCATGAGAGATAAAATTTTGGTGTAGATAATTTATCTTTGATTATATTGGAGAAAGAATTAATCGAGATGCAAGTAAGTTGACCTGAACATCCCTAACACTTGTACCCAAAAAAAAAAAAAAAAGGGTGCATTCAATGGTACATAGGTTGTATATGTTGGAACTTAAGGATATCTAGTTTGTATAAATAATTTCAGAGATTATTTTATCCTTGTTTGAGTAATCAACGATCAATAATTCAAAATTTTAACTTTTGAGTATCGTAAATGATATTCTGATTGATTTGATTGTTATGTATGGCTTATAAAATTTTGAGAACCGAGGGCGTAGTATATGTTCGCCATCTATAAGCCCTAGTATATTGTTACGTGTGGTTCATAATCTACAAGTCCTAGTATATGTTCGCCACCGAAACTTTTGATTCTCTAGATTTGAAGATTCTTTTATTTTATTAATTTCAATCATCTATCGTTGAATTATTTCTATGAGAAAATTCTACCATTTTTACTAATTTCAATCATCAGCCCATAGATCATTAGTCCATACCATGGGTTTATATTAATGGTGGATCCTACCATCAATGGTGGGACATTAAAAATATAAAATTAAAAGAAAAAACAAATCTCCAAATTGAGAGAATCTTAATCCTGGCAAATGCATCTCTTTCACTTCAAACAGCACATGCTGGGGCCCTTAAAACAAAGTGACAGCTAAGATAATTATCCTGTCCTTGGTATCTTTTTGAACTTTATGCAAAACTTCCAATCTCATTTTGAATCAACCAAATATATCAAAACCCTTATTTAATCAGCTAATATCATAATCATTTAAAAAGTACACTTACAAATTAGGGTCGATAATTGAGTTGAACTACTCAGGTTTGACTCGTTTTGAGTTCAACTTGACCTATTCGATTCAAACACGACTCGTTTAGAAAAACGAGTTTAAATGGTTCAACTGAAATTTATAAAGTTTGACATGTTTATTTGTAAAATAATCGAACTACTCACAATTTAAATAATTTTTTTGGATTATTTAAAAAAACGAGTTTGATAGACTTTATTCAATTATCAACCCTACAACCACATATATCAAAATTTTCATCACTACAAAATTAAAAGAGAATTAGATATATACAATTGAAACTGTTTTCTGATTTGAATCTAACGTGTAAATAATAATAAAATATTCTTTTTGATGTGTCACAACCCATCCTCAATAAATCAAATATGTATAATATTCATATTTATCGGACCTAGATATCCTTCAATATTTTAATTTTTTTTTATTTGGTAGATCACCTATCATGTATTATTGACATCTAGTTATATATTTGTATCCAAAACAAGAGACTCAATTTTATATATAATGAATTTCACTTGAATTCATGGGTAGACCTAATAATCGAGCTGAGCTATTTAAGCTTGACTCGGATTCTACTCGAGTTAAAATAAATTTTTAAATTCATTTAGAAAAATGAGCCTAAAAAGACTCAATTTAAACTCGCAAAATTCGACTAGTTTATATGTAAAATAATTGAATTTCTTGGGCTCGACTTGAGTTTATTACCTTTTGGGTTCGGCTTATATTTTAAACAAGTTGAATCTGAACAACTTTTTAAGTTCGTTTAAAAAAAAGAGTTTGATTGGCTCGACTCGATTATCAAATTTATTTACAAGAGGTTATCTATCAATATGAATTTTTTTTTAAAAAAAAAATAAGGGAAATTTGGGAAACCGACTTCATATTTATCACATCTTTAATTTAAGATTAATGTGACCCTTTATTTAATTAAGCACAGTCAAGTGTCCACTCATAACATTGAACAAAACAATCTTCCAATTAAACAAAATAATCCCTTGGCGTGTAGGGAATGCCAACCAACCCCTGCGCCGGCTTACCCAAAAATCCTCCTATATCTATAACTCTCATGCACCTATAACCACATCTACCACACCAACTTACCATTCGCACTTAAGCCTACCAAGTACCAACCTAAAACATCCATGGCTTCCACAACAGAACCAGAAAAAATTGTTCCACCACCAGAAGCCCACGTTGCAGAGCCGGAAAAGACGGCTCCATCAACTGAAGCCCAGGCTCGGGAGCCAGAAAAGGGGGCTCCACCACCGGAAGCCCCACCTCTGGCACCTGTTCCTCCTCCGGCCTACTATGTGGTGGCTGATGTGGTTTTAAGGTTCTTGTTGTTTGCTGCGGCAGTAGTGTCTGTGGTGGTGATGGTGACTAGTAAGCAAACGGAAGTTGCTCCAATTCAAATTCCAATTCCACCATTCAGGGCCCAGGCAGAGCTGCAGGCGAAGTTCAATCACTCTCCGGCGTTCATGTAAGTTATAATCACATGCAAGAACTTAGCATACATATAGTACCTATATGTGGTCAACTATAGTACAATTCATATCACTTCTTTTTTTTGTGTGTGTATATGTGGTCAGCTCTTCCCCTGTGATTTTTCTGGAAACCATAAGCTGAACCATACTATAAAACTCTCTAAATATTCACCAACCTCCAGTAAATTGTGAGGACTAACATAAACCGGCACCTCCAGAATGAAACACACACACACACACACATATAGTGGGGTGTGTGTGTGTGTGAGAGAGAGAGATATGGCTGGAATTTTTGGCAAATAATTTGGGTTGATTAAAATGAAATAAGAAAAAAAAAAAGTGGTACAAGGTTTTTTTTGGGTTTAACAGTGTCCGGTAAACTTATGTTTACTTCGACTAATTCCTTCTTCGTTCCGATAAAAAATTCAACTACTCAAACAAATCAACGATGACCAACAACGGCCTCGGCCTACCATGTTGAGACCGGAGTGTGATTAGGAAGCAAGTTCTTCAAAACTCCCTAGACAAAATCCTTGAATGAGACCCTTTTATTATTATTATGCTAAATTGCAATTTAAAATTTTTTGCACTCATTTTTTGTGTATATTATTTAGATTGAAAAAATTCATTCAAGGAATTCTAGCTAGTTGATAAAAATAGTAAGATAATAAATTTTAACATCAATACTAGACACTCGAGTGAGTGATGTTTATGTTGTCGACAACAAAAAGAAGTTTTTAACAAACTCAATTTAATTTTAAACGATTAAAATCATCAATAAAATAATTTTTAAGTTGATCAAAAGTGATAGAAAAAAATAAATATAAAACAATTGCATAATTTTATTACACGCAGTGAGTTCATATTAGACATGAATAATATCATAGTAAATAAAATAGATCTTCTATTACTATAAAAGTCATAAAACTAACATTTTACTTCAATTGATCTCAAGCCTAAAGTTCTCGTATAAATTTTTTAGACTCCTTTAAAAAAATTTTTAATTTGATTGAATATTGTATGAAAATTTTATTTGGTGTAAAATATCAAAATTGAGATTAATTAATAAAAAAATGGGTCTGAAAATTTTATTTGCAGACTTGAAAATAAAATTAGACTTAATTAAATATCGATTGGTTCAAAAAATTTATTTGGGGCCTGAAGAAAAAAATTTGTCCTTAACCGAATTTGCGTCTTAAAATTTTTTTGAAACCCTTATGAACTAAACATTGATCTAAAAATTTTATTTAGAGCTTTAAAAATAAATTTAAGTTTAATTGAATTTGTGTCTAAAATTTTTAAAAATAATTTAAACTTGAATCTAAAAAATGGTAACAAAAAATAATTTATAATATTTTAAAAAAATTATTTCTATTCATGAATTATGGTTTGATGTATTTATACCCAATACATTTCAAAATAATATAGTAAAGAGAAATAATAAAATAACAAAATTTATTATTTATTTTTGATATTATAATTTGGTCCATCCAGATAAATTCTAGAGGGGCCATGACAGGAGGGATGGGATGGGGTTTAAATTTTAAAGTATTTGAAAGATATTGGATGAGCTTTGCAATAATTGAAGTTGGTAAGCCGTCATAATGGTTCGTAGTATAACACTGTACAGCTTGAAGATTGATACTATAAAACTGGTCATCATGCAACTACTCTAGTATATGTTTTAATTACTTCATCTAATTAATTATAGTAATTAAATTAGTAGTGGGTTTTAATATTAATATAAATAGTTATCATTAATTATATCTTCAAATTAAGTATAAATAATATTTTTTGAATTCAGACCCTCTAATTATTTTTTCTCAATTTTTCTTCTTAGTAAATTATCTAAAATTAATAATTAAGGGATTCATTGGTTTCAATGAATTTCATTTGAATTCACAAAAAAAATACTCTCCCCGTTCTTAAATATTTGTCGTTTAAGATTCTTGTACATGGATTAAGGAAGCTATTAAATAATGCTAATATAAGTAAAAAATAATTGTACAAGACTAAAATACCCTTATTCAATACGTATTGGGAAGAAAAAGAATATGAAAGACATTTAACTTACACTTAATCTATTAAGCACTTACTGAAAAACATAGATAAAGATAAATTTGGAAAAAAAAATATTAATTATGTTTTAATTTCATCAAACGACAGATATTGTGAAACAAAAAAAATTATTTAAAACGACAGATATTTAAGAACGGAAGGAATATATTAAAAAAAATCACCCTCGATATTTCTCTCGGGTCATCCATCTCCTATGCTCTGGTTGGTGGTGTGCAGGGCTTCAAAAAGATAATTAACTTCCCATAATAAAGAATGGGACCTACTGTCGCCCGAGACACACAACACACAACACACAACACAAGAATTCTTTCATTGTCTGGGGCATTTCGAATGAGTTCTTAAGCCAACAAGATTTCTCTTTCTTGGTCCCCTTTTCAACACCAAGATACCGACAAAAGAGAAGTGTGGCGACGAAATCAAAGAAGAGAAGGAGAAGGAGAAGGGAGCTTATTTATGAAAGCAACATATCACATGTAGTAGGATATTTTGTGACAGCTAATCAGAAGACAACCAACCATAGGTATTTTTTTTTTTATTTGGGATATTGGATTGGAATAAATATTCAATATGACAGTGACATCGCATCTCACCGATCAAAGTGAGACCTTGAAACTCTCACATGCGCAGGGGTGAGACTAACAGATATTTTAATATAGAATATGGGCGCGCGAATTGTCTTTAAGAGAGCGACACAATTTAAATTGAAATTTAGGTTTAATTCTTAAGTTGAAATTTCAAGTCGGGTTAAATTTAAGTTTCATTCTCGAGTTATACAAGTTGGTTAAATATTGCTTCATCTGTTTACATTCTCATCATGTGTGTTTGTTAGATTGGTAAGTTCTATTCAGCTTTTGCTAACACTCAATGAACTATCCATGGTGCAGATACTTTGTAGCAGCACTCTCTGTCGCTGGTGTTTACAGCATCATAACTGCATTTTTATCTCTTTTAGCCCTCCTGAAGCCAGGTTCCATAGCGAAATTGTGGGTCCATATTGTTATATTGGATGTGGTAAGCTCTATACAACTCTTCCTGCTGCTAATACTAGGGTGTGTGTGTGTGAGAAAGAGAGGTCCGACATATGGGTGCTTGAAAGTAGGGCAGATAATTGAACTAAACTAAACTTTAATACTGCTTGTTTTAAGCTCTTTTTGGGTTCAACTCGTTTTCTAAACGAGCCGAACTTAAATAATTTTTTAAATTTGATTCGTTTATATCTAAAATAGTCAAGCTACTCGGCTTGGTTCGGACCCAACTCCTTTACATTTTCCAGACGAGTTGAGCTTGCAAATTTTTTTAGGTTTATTTAAAGAAAAAAACTCGTCAGGCTCACAAAATTAAGCTCAATTCTCAGCTCTACCAGAAAGGTAACTTCAATAATTGGTTAGTTGATCCTTTTGTGTGGCTGGATATGGTTTTGCATATGTAATTCCAGAGATAAAAATGACAACTACTCTAATATGATACTAACACGGAGTTAGCAAGTTTACATTTAATCTTAATAGATTCAGGTAATAAACGCGTGGATTTCACAAGACAAGTCAAGTAAATTGGTCAATACGAACCTCGGCAAACATTACTTATACATGGCATACACTCAACTATACACACTTGTAAATAAGCCAGACATAAATTAACTTCCGACATGACATAATTTACACGGTTTAGGAACACACAACATGACATGACTCATTGACAACACTAATATAGCAACTGATCCATGATGTTTATGTGTTGCAGCTGCTGTTGGGGATTGTAGCTTCAGCGACCGGAGCAGCAGGTGGAGTAGCTTATATAGGTCTGAAAGGCAACTCTCATGCCGGCTGGAATAAGGTGTGTAACATCTATGATATATACTGCCGACACCTTGCAGGCTCCATTGCAGTCTCACTGTTTGCCTCAGTTTTTCTGGTATTGCTGGTTCTTCTCTCTGTTTACACCCTTTCTAAGAAGATCCCCCATTGAAAATCTCTGTAGTTCAGACAGATATTTGAAACCCCGCCATGCCTCGCTCCAAATCGGGTTGTACTGAGCGGGAAAATGTTGTTTTCTGTGTGTATATGTGATTGTTTCTTGACCAGAAGTTCAAACTGGATTCGTGTTGTATTTGTATGTAAATTCAATGATGTAATGTGTACTTTAAATTGAAATTTACATTAATATGAGATTTTAAGGTTCGTTTGATGTTATTTTAAGGCTTTGTAGAGTCAAAAGAGCATAGAAAAAATTCAGCCCGCCCCATTGCTGAACTACATGGCACCCTCTGCTTGTCTACACTGGCAGTGATTGCAGCATATCTGTAAGTGTTAACCAATCATCAAGGAATGTGGTATGGGGACTCGCAGGGTATAGAATAAGCTCTTCCCAGAACAGAGATAGCCAGTCTCACCGAATAGCAAACAAGCATTGTACTTTAGAGAGGGGGGGAGGCTTAATAACAATGAGAGGCAATTGGTGGCATACTCAATTGTTTTTTTCCTCATTCTAAGCTGCTGCATATTAGCTACCCACAGAACATGCCATTGCTTATTGATGGAATATTAACGAAAATAGCTAGGTAATGCCAGCGACCCTCAACCAGATTCAATCAATTATACTAGCAGTAAAAGTGAAAGATTGCTTATAACCAAGTAACAGCCTTTAGTATTAAAATCAAAAGCAGCAGCTCTTACATAAAATGGATTTATTATCTACACTATGCTTAGAGATGGCAATTTGTCACAACAATAATCGAATACATGCTACCTCAGCCAACTATATTGACGATTAAGGATAAAGCCTAGCCTGCCCCCGATATAGTTAATTTGATCTTCTTCTTCAAATAAGTAGCAGCGCTGCAGCGCCATAAATCATCAAAATTCTGCATGTTTCATTGGTACTCTAGGTCTTCAGTGCAGGGCATGCGCTTATATCTTTAACCAGTTAACCTGCAGTACAAATTGCACTCTTTATCTATCCCCCCAAACAAAAGGTATTCCATAAATTTTTGCACCACATAACCCCCAAGCAAATTGCTTAGGATCTTCTATTATCAAGACTAGCTAAGGAAGTTCAATTTCTTAGGAAAGGGGATGAGCAGATACAAAGACACCATATGTTAGCAAAATGTAATTCAAAAATTAAAAGTTTGTCTAGTAAAGCTGGGGAGGTTATCAGATTCATACAAAAGAGTGTATTTTTACATCAAGCCTACCGTCTATTGTACTCAAACTCTCCACCTATAAGGGATTTGACAATAATTTCATAAAACTGCTGAACTAGCACATTCCGCCATCTGGGCTTTGAATTATCAATGAAAGGAAAAGAACGATTTTTCTGTGCTAATCATCCATCACCAAGTTAGCTATAACCTACAGAATTAACAAAGTGTCCACAGGTGATGATAGAAACTTAGTTGCCTGGCTAACTACCAAATGGGGAAGACTGACTATACTAAGCCCTTAAATATTGTAATCTAACAAGTGGCATAAAACAGGCAAAATCAGATAGACTGGATGTGGCTTACATAATAAGGGAAACTATGTACTGCATGATTACAAAGTTCACCAGGAATTTCACAACATCAATTTTATTTTCAAAGACTACAAATGTTCACAAAAGCATCTGTTTGCAACTCAATGATAAATAACAATAGAAAAGGCTGCATACCTTGGACTGTGCAACAAAATTGGTTAGTTCAATAATGCATTTGAATTTACAAATGTTCTTTTTTCAGAAGAGCCTCTCCACATGTGGAGCTAAGGCTACATACATTTGATCCTCCCCAGACATTGAAGTGGCGGGAACCCTTTTTTTAACAGTTAGAAAATTGTTTGCTCCCCCAGTTCCTGACCAGCCATTCCTTCTCTGAGCACCCTCTCAAAGAACTCTTCCAACCTATCATTTCCATAACTCGGGGTTTTCTCAGAACTGTACTCTCCAGTCTCAGCATCCAAAACCAACATACTCTCAGCTGCATAATACCTTCCAATCTTCCCAAACTCAGCTGCATCTTCCATTGCAGGAAATATCTTAACAAGAAAATCAAGAACCCCAATAGCAAAATCCATTATCTCAATTGGCACTTTTATAAACTTGGGTTCTTTTCCTACAATTCTAAACAGTATCTCCCCTTGCTCTAATGGTGTCAAAGCCTTACCCGGCCCGCCAATTGGCAAAACCTGGTTAATCTTATCCTCACCCAACACACAATCTGCTATAAAGGAAGCCAAATCTGGCTCACTAATCGGCTTACAGGCACACAACTTTCCATCCCCAAACATCACATAAGGCTTCCCATCTTTCACCAATTCAACCTGTCCTCCCAAACTCTTGAAGAATGCTGTTGGCCTCACAATACTATAAGTAAACCCCTCATCCTCTTTAGCTTCTTTCATCAATTCAGCCTCAAATTTCAACTTTGCTCTCTGAAATTCAAGAAGGGGCTTTTGCACACAAATTGCGGATAGCAACACAAAATGTGAAGCCCCAAACTTCTTACCAGCAACAAGACTATTTTTTGTGGCCTCATAATCAATTTTCCATGAATCTTTCACACCACCACTGCGGCTAGCAAGGCAAGAGACAACAACATCAATGGAAATCCCTAAATTCTCCAAGCTTTTTTCCAAAGAATCCAACTTGGTCACATCTGAAAAACACACATTGGCCCCATTTAACTGTTCCAAGGTTTCCTCTTTGCTATATTTACCTCTAATGCCACTCCTCTCTCTTGCAATGGCTATAACATTAAACCCTCTATTAACTAGCTCTTTAACTACAAATTTTCCAATGTACCCAGTTGAACCCGCAACCAAAATGTTGATATCTTTTGGGTTTTTGTTTCTGAATGAAATTTTGGGGGATTCAACAGCTGCTGTGGTTGAAGCTGTTATGGGTTTGAGTCTCTGGCTATTGAATTTAGAGGGTTCTGATAAGTACAGAACAGGAAATGAAAGAGCATAAGGGACTGAGTTCACCTGAATTGGATTGATGAAATGAGAAGAAAACAGACTTTTGAAGCTTTGATTTCTTGGTGAATTGAGTGTCAATCCACTGAAGGTGGCAAAAACTGACATTTTTAATTTCGAGTTCAACAGGACTGAACAACTAGGCCAGAGTAGATTGGGTTCGGGATAAGAAACATGGCATGACAAAGTAATGAATCAGAGAAAATTTGTGGTGGTTGATGGGAGAGTAAGGTGTTTCATGGCTTTTGAGCGAGGAGCTCTATCAAAGAGGAATCCAAAACGATTGGTGGAGGTTACCGAAGAAGATGGGATCCAAATCTATGTAAATGTTGTATGGTATGGGCCGGTGTCACATATATAAAAAATTAATGACAAAAAAAAAACTTATATAAAAAATTGAGTATTAATTGTATAATATTTATTTTTTAAAATAATAATTTATTTTTTTAATTAAAATGAAAAAAGAGAAAAGTAGGCCAAAGAGAAGAGAGTGGTAAGTGTGTATTAGTAAAGTTGTCTTGTATTATTTTTTTTTTGTTGGCTTGTATTATTAGAGAGTATGTTAGTGAAATTGATCGACATTAAAGATTGTGTGGAAAAGATTATATTTTTAGACAATTTTTTTTTGGAATAAATTTTATACCATTATATAAAATTAGATGAAAATTAAATTAATTTTGATCGCTAAAGAAGTCTGATCCAATTAGTGGCTTTTTCATCAACTTTTTTGGAAAAAAAATAGTTTTTATCCAAGGGCTTTCAAAGGAAATCCCGACTTTTTCAGAAATACTTCAAAAGATTTTAAGAATTTTTTTAACTTTGATTTTTTTATTTCACTTTTTAAATCTTTATTTCGCACCTAAAAAAATCAATTTCAAATGAATTTATTGTATTTTTATAAATGTGTAATTCAAATTGTTAACGGTAATTTGATAAAACTGCTCCGAGAAAGACTAGTTGGGCAAAGAAATTTCAAATTATGTCTCCACAATTAGAAATCAACAATTACTAATATTATTCAGTTGGATTTTAACCGTGGTGAAAATAAGTCCATTCCACGCTAAAAACACACACACACACACAGAGCAACGAACAACGCTTATTATTAACATAAATGAGTCAAAACACAATTCATTTTATGCTCCAGTTAAAGCAACATTTGACAACAAAACCATATTTTATCAAAGTGCTTTGAAACGTTTAAAATATTTTCGTTTTCAAAAAGATCGAAACGAATTAACGATAAAATCATAATTTTAATATTTTAAGGTGTTTTACAATGATTCAAGCAGGTTTTCACCAATGTTGTGGACAATGATCAAAATATCATTTTGAAACAGTCGAAACGTTTCCGTTTTCAAAGAGATCGAAACGAAACATTGATGGAATCGAAATTTTAATATATTGAGGTATTTCATAATATTTCGAGATATTTTATAATATTTCAATATATTTGCACAATTATTTCAGAATATTTCAAAGTATTTTGATATATTTCAATCAATATTTAAAAAGAATAATTCTTAAATTTTTTATTTTTTTCATTATGTTTCCGAAACGGATCAAAATATTTTTGAAACACGTCGAAACGTTTCCGTTTTCTAAGTAACCGAAATAACACACTGAAACAAAATTTCAATCCTTTGTTGTACAATATTTTGAAATGTTTCAAGATACTTATAGATATATTTAGACCAATATTTTAAAAATAAAAATTTTAAATTCTTAATATATTTTTAAAATATTTCTATTTCTTAGATAATCGAAACAATACGCTGAAACGATATTTTAATCCTATACAATCACACACAATATCCTTACCAAAAAATTAAAAACTGAGGCATTTTTTTTTCTTTGCTATCATCTATTGCATGCCATTGATCATCCGATCAAACAATTTCCTTACTATTATAGAACCATCTCATACAACGCATTTGAATTTTGAGTAAATATAACAAATGACCCTAAAATTATGATTTTTGTGTTAATTAAGTCTGTAAATTTTTTTTTTTGTGCGTCAATTGAATCTTTCTGTCTATCTCCGTTACATTTTCAATGGAAAACGATAAGCCGTGTCACTCACGTGATACAACATAAATTAGAGTAAACTACATATATGACTATGTTTCAATTAAGTCTCTAAACGTTTTTTGTGTCAATTAAACACTCTAAACTTTCTAATTGTGTCAATTGAGAACTTATATCTTTTTGTGTCATATGGTCACATAAGTGGCACACTCTAACAGAGACAAACAAAAAGATTTAATTGACATAATTAAAAAATTTAGGGACTCAATTGACATAAAATTTATAGTTTGAAAGTCATATATATAATTTACTTAGTTTTTATCTTTCCATCATCACATTTATTTGGGTTGCAAACTCAAATATCTATATAATATAGTAGCACGAAGTTTGAATTCAAAAGATAAAAAGAGATCCAGATCATTTTGAGACAAAACATAAACAAATCTAACGGACAACATAATTCCAACATAAAAGACGGTTCAAATCATCTCAAAAATTTGGATCTAACGGTTTACAGATAGTCCTGAATTTCTTTTCTCGCCCATGAAGAAACCTCTTATCGTAAGATTCTACACTCCTATTTCTCATATATCTTTATCTTAAATTTAAAAAAACACAATAACAATTCATATTGAATTCATTTTAAATTAAATGATTTAAATGTTATATGTTAAAAGTGTATTGTTTGTACCTTGATTTAGGTAGATTTTGTTTAATTTCTAATTTTATAATAAAACTTTGCATAAAATTAAAATTATTTATATTAAACACACATAAAAAACATAATATCTCTAAGTTTAGTGCTTCTTTTTCAAAGTTTGACAGTTTAACATTTGACCACAATAAGCTCATACACACTGTCACTGCAACACAAAAACCAGTACTCAAATAGATAATGTCACAATTTTTGGACATGTAAGTTATTTAGTATATCGATTTTTTCAGAATCTTTGATATAATATTTCATTAAAAACTATTATATATTTATTATATAATTTTTCATCATTCTTATTATAAATTGATTTATACCAAGAGTACACTGTAAGTAGATCTTCTTATCACGCATATTAGTACCGATGGTTAATGTTTATTTCTTATTTCTTATCAATCAATGAAGTTAATTGTCTTTCTAATCCATTAATAAAATCATCAAGTTATTATTTATACCAAAAATAAATCACTATTGTATGAAAACCTATAGTTCTCAAAAAATTAAAAACAAATTCAAAAACCCAAGTTAGTCAAGCAATTAAAAAAAAATAAGTGACCAATACAAAAAAAAAAAAAAAAGATACCAATTGCCAAAAAATGTTTAAAACTAATATAATCGCTATGTGTTGAAATTATTCAAACATCTTATCTTTGTGTGTTAAAATTTTATAAGTAACATAGTACATTCAGGAACGGGCAATGACTAGTCTATATAATAAAGTACAACGAAGTTTGAATCTAATAGATAAAGAGAGATCCAAATAGTTTTGAGACAAAACATAAACACATTCAACAGACAACGTAATCCTAACATAAAAAATGGTTCAAATCATCTCAAAAATTTTGATTTAACAGTCTACAGTTAGTCTTGAATTTCTTTTTTCGCCCATGAAGAAACCTCTTATCATAAGACTCTACACTCCTATCTCTCATACGTCTCTATCTTAAATTTGAAAAAGCACAATAACAATTTAGATTGAATTCATTTTAAATTAAATGATCTAAATTTCATCTAAATTCATCAAACTTAATCCAATGACTCACAACACATTTCACACAAAAATAAAATCCCACTAGGGGCGGAGCCAGAAAAATACTTTATGGTGGACACATTAATAAATTTTAATTATTTTTTTTATCAATGTTACCAATGACTTAATTCAATGTAACTATTATTTTTGTTATAAATTTCAATGTTAGATGAAATATACTTTCAATCAAAGGGGTGCATTGAATTATGTCATCAAATTAGATCTAAATAATATTTTTCATTTTGTTTTAATTGACTATAGAAGTTCATAAATTCATATTTACTATAATTATGCGTAAAAAATCATTAAACATAAAAGGTTAAAAAACGATTTGCATGGATTGAACAAACAAAAAATAAAAGTAAATTAATTAAAACTTCATATGAGACTAATTATTATCATTTTACAATTAAATCTGAGTATTGTTTATCATTTAAAATAATTATAAATCAATGATATCAATAAATTCTTTTTTTTCTATATACAAAATGGTAATAACAGTCTTTCATTTATTACCCTGTAATTTATTACATTATGATGCTCATTTCTATACAATAATAAAATAATCCTATAATTTAGAAAAATGAACGCAATATGTCTAAAAATTATTCAGACATGTCTGTGTCTAAAAATTTAAGAATTATAATAATTGCATCTAATTCGAAATTTAATTTTATATCTTGACAAAAAAAAAATTTCAAAATTTAATTGATAGGAACTCAATGGTTTGTGACCATTGGATGGATAGTAGACGTTATTAAATGTAAGGACTCACTATTAGATTTTATATCATAATGTATTAGTTCCAATAACATTATTTAAAAATTAATTATTAATTAAATAGTCGTCTATTTTAATCGATATCATAATAATACAATAATAAGGTAGATACAATTAAATATGTCTAAATTTTATTTTAAAAAATATATATTTATTGTAAAAAAAAATTGAGGGTGGGTACAATTAAATGTATCTAAATTTTATTTTAAAAAATATATATCTAATGTCAAAAAAAAAAAAAAAAAGAGGGAGGCACGTGCCCACCCTGGTCCAAGGGTGGCGCTGCCCCTGAATTTCACTCAATTTAACTACACCCACATGCTACCCATTTTGTCTAACACACAGCCCAAACTCTTTGTCTTTCCCTCATTAACCGTCTCACCTCTCTTAGTTTCTTAGAAATCATTATCATCCTCCTCAGTCTCTCATCTCTCTGTGCAGACTCCAACAATGGACAGACTTTCTTCAGCGACGCGGGACATAATCTAGAGACCCACTGGACTGACCCACTTCAACCATTCACTCTCTTTCATCCAAATTGTATTGACAGTGATCTAACCTCCAAAAATACTCTCGTTGGTACCCATTATTATTTATCGTTGATGATTTTTTTGGTTTGGTTTAGTGGTGTATGTTTTTATAATAGTTTATTGTTTTTAATTTTTAATGTTCATGTTGTTTAGTTGTGGATGTATTGTCATTAACTAATTGTTGTTAAATGTTATATGTTATAAGTGTATTGTTTGTACTTTGATTTAGGTTGATTTTGTTTAATTTTTAATTTTACGATAAAATTTTGCATAAAATTAAAAATATTTCTATTAAACACACAAAAAATACATAATATCTTTAAGTTTAGTGCTTCTTTTTCAAAGTTTAACAGTTTAACATTTGACCTCAATAACCGCATACACACCATCACTCTAACACAAAAATTAATACCCAAATGGACAATGTCACCAATTTTGGATAGTATATCAATTTTTTCAAAACCTTTGGTATAATATTTTATTAAAAACAATGATATACCTACTATATAATTCTTCATCTTTATTACAAACTGATTCATAGCTAGAGTACATTGTAAATAAATCTTCTTATCACGTATCTTAGTACCGATGGTTGATGTTTACTTCTTACTTCTTATCAATCAATGAAGTGTAAATTGTTCTTATAATCCATAAATAAAATCATCAAGTTAATATTCATATCCAAAATAAATCACTACTGTATGAAAACTTATAGTTATCAGAAAATTAAAAAAAAATTCAAAACCCAAGTTAATCAGCAATTAAAAAAAAATAAGTGACCAATACAAAAAAAATAAGATACCAATTGCACCAACAAAAAATGTTCAAAATCAATATAATCGCTATGTGTTGAAATTATTCAAATATCTTATCTTTGTGTGTTAAAATTTTATAAATAACATAGTGTCTTCAAGTACGGATAATGACTAGTCTATATAATAAAGTAAAGTTGAGTTTGAATTTTAGAAACAAAGAGATGTTCATATTATTTTGAGATAAAATATAAACATATCCAACGGATAACGTAATCCCAACATAAAAGACGGTTCAAATCATCTCAAAAATTTTGATCTAACGGTCTACAGTTAGTCATAAATTTCTTTTCCCACCCATGAAGATGCATCTTATCGTAAGACTTTACACTCCTATCTCTCATATGTCTCTATCTTAAATTTGAAAAAGCACAATAACAACTCAAATTTAATTCATTTTAAATTAAATTATCTAAATTTCATCTAAATTCATTAAACTTAATCCAATAGCTCACAACACATCCCACACAAAAATAAAATCCCACCCAATTTAACTACTCTCACACCTCATCTATTTTATCTAACACATAGCCAAAACTTTTTCTCTTTCCCCTATTAATTATCTCACCTTTCTCAGTTTCTTAGAAAATCATTGTCATTCTCCTCAGTCTCTCAAATTTTTGTGCAGACTCCAACGATGGACAGATCTTCTTCAGCAGCACACGACATAATCTAGAGACCCACTAGACTTACTCACTCCGACCATCCACTCTCTTCCATCCAAATTGTATTGATGGTGATCTAACCTCCAAAAGTACTCTGGTTAGTAATCTCTCCATCTCTAGTAAGTGTGAATATGTGTATATATTGACACCGGTACAATTACCATACAATTGAAACAAACGTTGCAAGTTCCATGAGTCTCGCAGAAATCAATAAAATAAGAAGAAATAGTGACAAAAAATACTACCATCCCATTTGGGTTATGGTCAATTATAAAGTAATTTGGTTGATGGGGGTAACAACTTGACTGATTTAATAATAGGTTTGAAATTGATGTATAGATATCGCCCACAACCCAAGCAATGTAAGCCACCGCCCCCAGCCACCATCCACTATCTACCCACAGTTGAATTATATTGAGAGATTTTTAATGATTACAACTCAAAATAATAGTCCAAATGAATAAATCAAACAAAAAATGCACCTCTTAAAATTGTCAACAATGACTTTTCGTCGTTTGGAAAAGAAAACTAGAAAGACAATCATAAATTCTATTTATACCCCCCATAATTTTAGTGTATTTATATTTTTACCCTTTAATTTTCAAAAACATCATTATAATCCCATAAGTTTTAAAAATAATATTATAACCTTAGAACTTCTCTGAAAATTCTTCTTCTTCATATAACTTTATGACATCTTTGACACATTTATTAGATTATGTGTGGGGTCAATATTTATAACTAATGTTAGAATTTTCAATTCCTTATAACCAATTCTTTTTTCTCTATTTACTTTCTAGCATAAATTGTATAAGTGAGTTTAGTCTCATGTGAGGCTTCAATACTCAATTTCTATTAGTTGAAATTTTGGAGGTGTCTGCATTATGGAGAATGACAAACTGATTATGTGGGTAATTATCAAATATTTTATATTTAATTTTTATAATTGTGCAGTTAGCAAATGTTTAACATTTATGTGTTTATGAATATTGATGATTTTTTTTGTGTTGATTTAGTGGTGTATGCTTTGACAAAAGTTTATTGTTTTTAATTTTTAATATTCGTGTGGCTTAGTTGCAGATGTATTGTCATTAACTGATTATTATTGAATGTTATATGTTAAAAGTGTATTGTTTATACCTTGATTTAGATTTGTTTTGTTTAATTTATAATTTTACGATAAAACTTTGCATAAAATTAAAAATATTTTTATTAAACACACATAAAATACATAATATCTCTAAGTTTAGTGCTTCTTTTTTCAAAGTTTGATAGTTTAACGTTTGATCCCAATAATTGCATACACACCGTCACTACAATACAAAAATCAGTACCCAAATAAATAATGTCACCATTTTTGGACATGTAAGTTATTTAGTATATCAATTTTTTCAAAACTTTTTATATAATATTTTATTAAAAACCATTATATACTTAATATATAATTTTTTATCCTTATTACAAACTGATTCATACCTAGAGTAAACTGTAAATAAATTTTCTTATCATGTATCTTAGTACCAATTATTGATGTTTACTTCTTACTTCTTGTCAATCAATGAAGTTTAAATTGTCTTTATAATCCATAAATAAAATTATCAAGTTATTATTCATACCAAAAATAAATCACTACCGTATAAAAACTTATAGTTCTCAGAAAATAAAAAAAAAATCAAAGTCCAAGTTAATCAACAATTAAAAATAATAAGTGACTAATACAAAAAAAATAAGATACCAGTTGCACCAACAAAAAATATTCAAAACCAATCTAATCTCTATGTGTTAAAATTATTCAAATATCCTATCTTTGTGTATTGAAATCTTATGAGTAATATAATGTTTTTTAGACACGGACAATGACTAGTCTATATAATAAAGTAATTTACAATTCAAATCTCAAAAGATAAACAAAATAACTTTTGCTATTCGCGGTTGAGATCGCTTTAAATATTACTTTAAAGTTAATCTAACAGCTAATATTAACACCATAAATTTAATAGAAAAAATGTCATTCAGGAGGTGTTTGAACTGACTTTTTAAGAATACTTTCAGAAATTATTTATTATAAATACTTTAATAAAAGTGTTTGAAACTGCCCCCCACTACCTCTACCACCACCGCTATTACCGTTGCCACCACCACCATCGTCGTTGCAGCCGCCATCACCACCACCACCATCGCCGCTGCTATAGTCATTGCTACCCACCACAACCATCACCGTCTCCTACCACCACCACTACTGCCCATCACCTCTCACCCCCGTTACAAAACGATGTTTAAATTCCTTTATTTCATCTCTATATTTGTGATTTGATTTTGAATATGAATACAAATATATTTATTGTTCACAATTTTTTATTACCGGCAATAACTGGTATCACACCATTGTACATAAAAACATAGGATCAACATCATCCTCAAACACTAGACTGATCCCTCAGATTGCTTACATGCTTCCAATTAGATTATAATGTCCAATTGAACCCAATGTGCATGAAAATATAGTTTTCATTATCATCAGGTGCTTGTAATCACCCTTGTGTACATGTATTCATAGAGGCAGTACAGCAGCAAGGATCGCCGAAAAATAAAAAGGTAAACAACATAAAGGATCATTGGTGCAGTTACTCAGAGACTCCAAGGAACTGAGAAAAGCTTGGGTACTTTGGCTCCCATCCTATCTCCTCGCGGGTTTTCGAGTTGTTTAATTTCTTCCCTAACGGACCATTGGTGCCTGCAGAAACAACACATGTTTGTGACATTCAAGTTCAAAACTTTCATGTGGAGATAAATGTGTATCATACATAATGAAGATTTTGCGAGTCTCTGAAGCTTTTATACTATACATAAGAGAACATTAATATTAGCATATGCCTTTCCCACAATCGTACAAAATCTCTGTTCAAACTAGCAGTCAGCTCACCTGTGAAACTCCCAAATTTCTTAGTAAACTTCCCACTTTTCTCCACCAAGTCCATTACTTCCTGCCTGCTAAGTCATAGAAAGATATGAGAATTCATTTCTGCTACAGAAACCAATGCAATTAAGACTGCGCATAAGGATACTGGCTTATGTAGTAACTAGAGAGAAGAGTCACTAAATCAAGCTTGCAAATTTAGCAAGACAACCTGGATAGAGGTTGATTGTCACAACCCAGAAAAATCCGTCCACGAAGTTTCTTCTTCAAGATTGCAACTGAAAGGGAAGCCGCATCCTGTTGAAGTACAAAAGTCAATAGACCGGCTTAAAATTTTTTACATCAATAGCGATGAGACAAAGCTGCATTTTAGGAATGCAAGGTATGAATGGAAGTATCCCCGACAAAGTAGATATTCCATTCGACTAAAGTAATTTGATACTCAAAAAGGGAAATGTATCTGAGTATGATAATTAGGCAAATTGATATCAAAGTGCCAATGGAAGTAACAACTTTAAAGACAACTATTTGCCATCAAGCTATTTGTTTTTATAACAATGAAATGGAGAAAGTCAACAATAAAGTATTCACCTCGTAGTGTATGAGATTTAAAATGTGATCTGGACGAGCGTCAACGATTCCTTTCCCCAACCAATAGACATGTGCCCCTCTATCTGCTGTGTGTTAACAGTTCAGGTTAACATGCATAAAATACAATATGAATTTGTGCCAGGACTCCCTGCAGCTTCTCGTAAGAATATAAGAAATCTTATCCATCATGTTTCATAAAGGATATGTAAAGTCCTGCCAATCTAAGAACACAACCCCCAGAATCTAGCACTACTTTCTCTGCCTTCAGAAGGACATCTGTCCTAGGGCTCCTCCCAATTGGTACAACGGGACAGTCCTGTGTAGCCATGCAAAATAAGGTAGATCAAATTTAGGGACACCTGACATATGACTGATACATCGCACAAAGGATATCCATATGTCATAAAAGTCAGCAACTACATAACGAATGTACCTATTCATCAGACACTTCCACAACTTGAGGAAAAGGGATGCTAGATACCTTTCAATTTCGGAACTTCAGTGGAGATAACATTTTTTTGAGTTGAGTACTCTGTTCATTTTCAATCACTGTAAGGGATTCTGAATTTACTTTTCCATCCTTAATTTACAAATCTTTCCCCAAGAGGAGGATCTATAAACTCCACAAACTCAGAGGCAAATGATGCATCACATCAAATGTCTGAATTCATGTAACTGCAGACTCAACTCAACAATACCTTATCCCAGCTTGTAAAGAAACTCATGACTCTCACTTGAGGTATAACTCAAGGAAAAAATTAAATAAAGGTACCAGCAGGAAAAAGTTGTGTTAGATGCAACACCTCATCACAGGATCCATTGTTGTTGCAATCATATGGTGCAGAGCTTGAAGTAAAGAGGAAAGAACCTTCACCATTCCAGTTCGAAGCAGCTTCCCTGCTTATTATTTCATACACCAACCCAATAACATAAGTTGAGAAGGTATGTACTTTTGGATCAAATAATTGCATACATAACATCCATAGAAACAACAAAAGTTGCAACAATGCAATAGCAACAAGGAGGCATTTTTAAACCTCAATTTCTTACAAAGTTCAAACAGTCTCTTAAAAGACAACCCAACACCTTAATACAAAAAGATGTCACACTTTCATAATTCCGTTCTTATATTTGTTTCCAAATACATACAAAGATGTTTTCCCAGCGTATTCACATATGCTTTTGGTATATACCCTTATCCTCAAATATTCTTCCATAATTGCATATCGTAGCTCTTTCCCGATACATGTGTTCCCAGCCCATCAAGATTACCTCCAATACAGCCAAAGCTTCATTTCTCCAGTTTTATTCTCCTAATAGCTACTTCAAAACACTAATTTGAGCTACTAAACAACCTAAGTCTGTACTTAGCAGGTGACTCATGTTTTCTCTTGTCCATTCACTTATCCTCCTCCAAGCTATCAACAACTGAAATAAATGAAGTCTTGTTTTCTCTTCCTGTCAATTACATGTATCTCCAAGAAATAACGGAAATTGGTATACACTCAGCTACTATAGCTATCTGTCGAGTTCCCAATTATCAAAATACTGCATGTCAACAACTGATGATGCCTAAAATAAATTCCAAGTGTTAGCTCAGACCGGGAGATCAGATATATTAACTGAGGTCAGAAGGCAAGGGCTGAATGTCTCTTGAGGCAAGGCAACGACTGGACAACCACGAGAGGTTCCTAAAGCGTTCGGAAGCTATAATCAAGGCACCTAATCTCAACCAACCAAGATCTTCTCCTACAATTAAGGAGAACCCCACGAAGTAAGGACAAGAATCTCGGCCAGGATCCCCCTTAGCAGGGAATGACTTTATAAATGCAATGTAACGCCTCCTAACAAGTGGAGAACCCTAGAGGCAAAAAGAAGTCATAGTAACCTTGTAATGACCGTGAATAAAAAAAAAGGAGCAAGAGCCTCCATTCCAGAGTGGATTAGCCGAGCTCCCAAGCTGGTGAACCACTATAATTCTGTTGTCTTAACTTCCAAAGCCCTGCATATTATTGCATTATCTTAGCAACCTAACGTAATCCAAGCTCATCTTTTGTAAAAGTGCGTTAACGCCATCAGTTTAGCGCCGTCTGTGAGAACAACTGTTCCTGTTACAAATAAAGCTGATTTTTCAGTGACTGATGGTATCAACGCAAAACATGAGCCGAAGTCAGACCAATCCTCTACAGATGCAAGATCAACAGGAAGCCGTAAATAGCAGACAATCCGAAAACATGCAAGAAGCCGATCCCTCATGGGGGGTCTTACCATGAATAATGAGATGGAGGCCCTTCGTCTTGTCAATGAACGTCTAATAAAACAGAACGAAGAGCTCTTAAAGCTCCTACAACGCCCACAGGAGGCGCGACCTGTCCAAGGAGGCCAGAATAATCCACCACCAAGGGAGCAACCATATCTCGACCCCCTTAGAAAAGTTAATGAGGTGGGAGAGAATAGCCAGACCTTGGAGCAAGAGCCTCGCCTACCCCCTAGGAATGGTCACAACGAAGAAGTGCAAAGTCAGTAGAAGGAAGGGGAGAGGAGCGACTTCTTCCCTTATCAACAGGAGAGAAAAGAATACCACTGGGAGCAACGTTTCAAAGACATCCAGCAAGAGCTCAGCCAGTTGAAGAAGGCAGTGAAGAGCAAGGCCCCAGTCACTATGGATGCCTTGGTGCAGCAAACCGAATCCTCATTCATTGTTGGGGTGCTACACTTCCCTCTCCCACCTAAATTCAGAATGCCGCAGGTGGATGCTTTCGATGGGACAAAAGATCCCGTGGACCACCTCAACACCTACAAAAATCAAATAGAGTTGCATGGATATCAAGATCCAGTGAGATGCAGGGCCTTTGCTATCACCCTGAAGGGCTTAGCCTTAGCATGGTTCAACAGACTCCCCCCAGCCTCGATTTTCTCTTTTAAAGAGTTGTCAATCTCGTTTGTGTCCCACTTCATCGGAGCTCGGACCTATAAGAAACTGAGCTACCATTTGTTAAATGTGAAACAGGGACCTGATGAGAACCTACGGTCTTATGTCCAATGGTTCAACTCAGAATCCTTGAAGGTGGATGTCCCAAATGAAAAATTTACTATTACAGCCTTCATAGCAGGTCTGGGAGTTCAGTCAAAAGATCTGATATTTTCCATCTCAAAAAACCCCCAGGCTAGTATGGCGAAGGTGTTTGCCAAAGCAGAAAAGTACATAAATGGTGAGGAAGCATTCCTCTCCAAGGTCGGGAGCTCTTCGTCGAGAAAGGAGAAAGGGAAGGAAGAAAAGAAGAGAGAACAAAGTCCCAGAAAGGAAAGAGAACGAGGTAGGTCTCCAAGAAGAGACAGAGAGCATTCTTTGAAGAGAAGAGGAAATGTCAGGGATCGCCTCGGCCCTCCACAACCAGAGCTACAACTAAGGTATGCATCCCGGCAGCTCACCCCTCTGACTGCTACGGTATCTCAGATACTGTATGAGGTGCAAAATGAGAAGTTCTTAAGGTGGCCACCCAGGATAAAAGCAGACTCAGCAAAAAGGGATCCTACGAAGTATTGTGACTTCCACAGAGACCATGGTCATCACATCGACGACTGTATCCAATTGAAGAAGGAAATAAAATTTCTTATTTTAGCGAGGGCAGCTGTGACACTATGTGGCCAATGATAATCAAAACCGAGCTCTCCCACCTCTACCCCCTCAGCGTCAAGCACCAGAGCCACACCAGCAACCTATGGGGGAGATCAGAGTGATATCTGGAGGATTTGCTGGAGGGGGGTCCAGCTCTGCCAGAAAGGCCTACTTGTGAAAAATTAGAGCCATAGAAGCTCCCGAAGTATATACTGTGTTTAAGTCTCCACGCTTAGACACGGCTATCACTTTCTCAGATTCAGATCTGGAGGGCTGCCAATATCCCCATGATGACCCTTTGGTGGTAAGAACTGTGGTGGCTAACAGGACTGTCCATCGTGCTTTGATTGACAATGGCAGCTCGACAGACATCATTTTTGCTTCTGCTTTCGACAAAAATGGATATAGGAAGGGAAAAGCTTGAACCAGTAAGTGCCCACCTATTGGGATTCTTAGGAGAAAGGGTGTTGCCCCTGGGGTCAATCCAACTCATCTTAACCTTAGGTGACCCACCCTGTCAGACTACAACAACTGTGAAATTCCTAGTGGTTAATGCACCTTCAGCATACAATATGCTCCTTGGAAGACTCTCGCTTAATTCTATAAGGGCTATTCCCTCTGCCTATCACCTTGTAGTGAAGTTTCCAACAGAAAACGGAGTTGGAGTAGTCCGAGGAGACTAGCGCGTAGCACGGGAATGCTACATGGCATCTATGAGAAATAAGGAGGTTGAGAGCATCCAATTGGATGAGCTTGACATGAGGGATGAACTCGAGACCAAGCCAACACCATCAGAAGAGCTGGAGCCTATTCAAAGTGATGAGGAGCTAGAGCATCTTGTTTACGTTGGATCCAAGCTGAGCAAGGAGATCAAGGATCTCCTCATCCAATTCCTGAAAAGGAACAAAGAAGTTTTTGCATGGAAGCAAGAGGACATGAAAGGGATTGATCCCTCTGTCATCACTCACAAACTCAGCATGAATCCAGCTTGTAAGCCCATTAAGCGGAAAAGGAGGAGCTTCGCCTCGGAGCGTCAAAAAGCCATTAACGAAGAGGTCAGCAAACTCCTTCACGCGAAAGCCATTCGAGAAGTGAATTACCCAGTCTGGCTAGCCAATGTAGTCCTAGTCAAGAAGACAAACGGCAAATGATGTCTTTGCATTGACTTTACAGACCTCAATCGTGCTTGTCCAAAAGATAGTTTTCCTTTACTGTAGATAGATTTGATTGTAGATGCCACTGCGGGATATGAGCTCCTCAGCTTCATGGATGCCTTCTCTGGGTACAATCAGATCATGATGGATCCCAGTGACCAAGAGAAGACCTCGTTCATAACTGAGCAATGGACATACTGCTATCAAGTGATGCCTTTTGGGTTAAAAAATACAGGAACCACTTACCAGCGCCTGGTGAATAAGATGTTTCAAAAACAGATTGGGACCTCCATGGAGGTCTATATTGACGACATGTTGGTCAAGTCACTGAAGGCAGAGCTCCACATTGAACACCTAGCAGAGTCGTTTCAGGTCCTGCGAGAATACAAGATGAAGCTCAACCCAGCTAAGTGTGCCTTTGGGGTGTCAGCAGGAGAATTTCTGGGCTTCATAATTAATAGCAAAGGGATAGAAGCTAACCCAGAAAAGGTAAAAGCAGTGTTGGATATATGGCCTCCCTCCAACACGAGGAAAATACAGTGTTTAACCGAGAGAATTGCTGCCCTGAGTCGCTTCGTTTCCAGATCAAGCGACAAGTGTCAACCCTTCTTTCAAGTCTTAAAGAAAGCCTTTCAATGGGATGCTCGGTGTAAAGAAGCCTTCAAAGCATTGAAAGAATACTTGAGCTCCCCACTTGTCTTGGTAAGTCCGTTAGAAGGAGAAGTACTTACCCTTTACCTGGCTCTCTCAGAGTTCTCAACCAGCGCAGCGCTAGTAAGGGAGAAGGATAGAGCTCAGCAACTAGTCTAATACTGCAGCCGAGCTCTGAGAGGGGCAGAAGAAAGGTATCCTAAAATGAAAAAACTCGTTTTAACCTTAGTGACAACTGCCGGGAGACTAAGACCCTACTTCCAGGCTCATACTATCGAAGTCCCAACAGATCAACCTATGAAGCAGGTGCTGCACAAGCCAGAATCTTCGGGGAGACTGATTAAATGGGCCGTTGAACTTAGCGAGTTTGACATCAAATACAAGCCAAGAACAACCATTAAGGGGCAGATAATAGCAGATTTTATTGCAGAATTCACAACTGGGATACCTGCAGAGACAGCGCAGTTAGTACCTGACCTCCCCACGTGAAAACTTTCAATAGATGGAGCTGCCAATGCTCAGGGCAGTGGAGCTGGTTTGATTTGGACTTCCCCCGATGAGATAGGTGTTGAATACGCACTGAGATTTGGATTCAAAATTTCAAACAACAAAGCCGAGTATGCGACAGTCATAGCAGGGCTCAGCTTAGCTCATTCAATGGAAGTCGAGCAACTAGAGATCTGCAGTGACTCACAACTCGTGGTGAAACAGATAGAGAGTGCTTACGAGACTAAGGGTTAGAAGATGGCCCTTTATCTTAGAAAAGTTCAAGAGCTGATCAAAAAATTTGTACAAGTGAAGATTCGGCATGTTCCTAGGGCTGAAAACTTGAGGGCAGACGTCTTGGCGAGGTTAGCAACAGCTTCGCAAGAGAATCTGGGCAGGTTAATTCTGGTGGAACACCTAGCAGAACCCTCTGTGTGTACTGAGAATGAAGAAATTTTTCTTGTGCGGAGTCCAACAAGCTGGATGGACCCCATCATGGAGTATCTCCAAAACGGGACCTTACCAGAAGACCCCAAGGAAGCAACAAAGCTGAGAACCAGGTCGGCTAGATTTTCTATTTTGCAGGGCAACTTGTACAAGCGAGGTTTTTCAGCGCCACTCCTCAAATGCGTGGGCAATGAGGACGCTGATTATATACTCAGGGAAATTCAAAAAGGAGTCTGTGGCAATCACATCGGAGCTCGGGCTTTGACAGGAAAGACATTAAGGCAGGGGTATTACTGGCTTACATTGCTCAAGGACGCAACAGAC